TGTCCCAGATTGAGCCAAAGTTTCATGCCAGTAACTTTACTGGTTTCCAAAATATGGCCTTTGAAATATTTGAAAATCAAATTCCCATACCCCTTTGGAAAAATTCGAATTTTTAAATTTTGCAATGTTTGACTTTACCAAGCAAAAGAGGAGATCAAAATTAGTGAAAAATCATTTTTGCAACTTTTGGGTTTTTAGAGTTTTAAAGCCTTGTAAAAAAATAAAAACGATTTTTGCAATTTTTGGGCTCAAAAAAGTTCAATAATCTGACATTATTTCACAAAGTTGCTGATAACTCGTCTATTATTGTAACAAATACAATGTAAAATTATATATTCTGAATCAGAATTAAATTATTATCTTCAAGATAAAATAAGACTCAATTCTATATTTTAAATACTTTTCAAGATATTGAGGCTCAAAGTTGAAACTTTACCTCAAATTTTGCAAAAGCTTCCAGGCGGATTATTTTGAAAACGATGCCCTTGGGCTTGGAGTCTTGAATAACCTTTTTTGTAGCCCTTATTAAGAGCTACAATTGGGCAAAAGATTCATGCCAATAGCTTCACTGGTTTCCAAAATATGGCCATTTGAATTATTTGAAAATCAAATTTCCATGCGTACCCCTTTGGAAAAGTTCGAATTTTTAAATTTTCAGTTTTTCGAATTTTTGACTTCACCAATCGAAATAAGGGGTTAAAATTAGTAGAAAAGCATTTTCGGGACTTTCCTTTTTGGGTTTTAAAGCTTTATTAAAATATAAAAACGATTTTTGCAAAAAAAATTCAATAATCTGACATTCTTTCACAAAATTGCTGATTACTCTTTTATTATTGTAACAAATATAATTTAAAATTATATATTCTGAATCAGAATTAAATTATCTTCAAGATAAAATAAGATTCAATTCTATATCTTAAATACTTTGAGGCTCAAAGTTGAAACTTTTCCTCAAATTTTGCAAAAGCTTCCAGGCGGATTATCTTGAAAACGAAGCCCTTGGGCTCGGAGTCTTGAATAACCTTTTCTGAAGCTCTTATTGAGAGCTACAATTGCCAGAGTCCCAGCTAGAACCCGAAAAATGAAAATAGAGATAAAAAGTCAAAAAAGTTGACAGAAACTTTTACTGATAATTTTTTTTGGAATCTGATAATTTGGCATCTGACAACACTGCTATCCCCAAAGTCAACATCAATTAAGGTAATTCCTTGGCCTTGTCGGCTATTTTCGAAAATTCGTGAAAGATTTTGCACGATTATCAGCACTTCTGACAAAAATTTTAAAGAAAAGATGCTAAAGTGGGAAATGGTTATGCAGGTATTTCAATTCAATGTAAAGGTAATATCAAAAGTCCTGTGGCCTGGAATTGTGCTCGTTGTGTTTTTGAACTCGCCGGTCCGCCTATATAAGTACAAGAGGATAACTAAGGTAGGTGCGCTAAATATTGCCATTGTTCCTAATATGGTCACCCCTCGTTACTCAGCTAGTATCGATGCTGCATGTAGGTGGCAGCAGTAGCAGGTACTTTGATTTGTCAGCCATTTGTTTTCTATTCGGCGGTTCAGTCTATGCTAAACGTCAGACGTCAGGAGCACGACATTTGTTTTTCCGGTCCGCGCTATAAGAAAATTAACTTTTCACGTTGACCCTACGCAATCTTAATTTACATTTACTGGATTTTTTTAAAATTAAGTACAGAGAAGTACACTCCAGTGGCTTTTGTTTTATGAATTGCATGAATTATTTCAACTGGTTTCTAGGTTGGAGATTTTTTTTTGTGGACGTTATTTGTTCCTAATATTGCCATCACTAATTATGCGCTTGTTCCTAGTTTGCTGTCAATATGTTCACGAGGCCTGTGTAGGCCTAACTAAGGATGACAAAGAAAACTCTATCTATCCTCAATGTTCTTGAGTTTAATTTTTTTTTGTCAGAAAATGTTGTTATTTTTATTTTTTGTTCCTATGTTCCTAATATTGACATAGGGTGGCAATAATAGGGAGAGCTGTGATCCTAATATTGCCATTCTCAACTTCAACTAAAACGTTCAATATCTTCATTTCTATTAAGTTTTTTGAGGTGAATAAAATATATGATTTAAACTTTACTCTTACCCAGATTTGTATTCCTTCATTAATAAAAGTATAGGATTTAATCACTACCAAACGTTAAGGTGGCAATATTTGGCACACTTACCTCATGAACTCAATATAGAAGCAATCGAACTGCCACACAATAACATTCCCAAAAACAGAATAAACTCTACTAGAGTCAAGTTCGAAGTGGGTGAAATTGATTTGGTAATAAATCAGATTTGATTTTTGACAGTACTTCATCTTTCGCTGTCTCGACTCGGATACTTTCAGCATGGAGCTCTAACGTCGATATGTCGAAAATAGTTGAATAACGGAGTTGATTTATTCGTATGCTCACAACCTCTTCTGTATTCTACCTCGTAATGGAAACTTGCAAGGAAGGAAGAGTATGTGAGTATAGTCTAGCAGAAGTCATAGTTGCTAATTTCCCATTCTGGTGAAAATTCGTTTTAGCGGTCTGTCATCGGTGTTTAATTTGGATTTTCTTCCATATAAATACATGTAATAGTGATTTACTAAAAAAAAAATATGGCTTAAAAACTAGCTGTGGTTACGTCTACTATACTGTTTCCTTTTTATTAGGATCGAAAACAGGGTGAGCATTGTATAATAGGTAAATGTAAAGCAAGCATATAAACCAGGTACTGTTGACGATATTTCACCGACACTGAAAATACTGGCACACCTCCCATACTCCTTAACTTAAAAGGAAATTTCATCAACAGTCTCATTAGTTTCTACTGGTGTTTTCGAATGAAAATACATACAGGGTGACAATTTGAAATGTAGCAAATTATTTTTTTGAGATATCGATGTTCAAAAGTAAGCACCTTTTGAAAACTAGTAATTTTGACTATCTTTGAATAGTAGTACTCTACTTTACTGAACTCTCTATCGTTTAGGGTTTTCGAGAAAATCGAGTTTGAAGTTTTGGACAAAATGTCGACCAAATCCCAACTTTGAAGTTCAATATCCCGGAAACTTCACAAGTTACAAAAACCAATTTTGCAGGGCTTATGGGGAATTTAATACTCTTTTCAATGATGCATAATTGTAGAGAATTTTCTCAAATATCATTGAATTGAACATTTGAAGATATGACCAATTATTCATGTCAAGATTCCAAAAAATGTTTAGATCCAAAAATTGGATTTCCTTTTTGGATTTTTTTTTTCTCATTGAAATTTTTAAATGTTACTGATAATAGAGTTAGTTGTTCCTGATTAATTTGGACTCGCTCTATCGATTTAAAAAATCAGAATTGAAAAAAAATCCAAAAATAAAAATTTTCAGTTTTTGGTACTTTTTCCTAAGAGTATCCCCTCTGAATTTTAATTTGCAAATCTCCACACCTGATTTTCTCGTTTACGGTTTTTGAGAAGCTGCTAGAAAATCGAGTTTGAAGTTTTCGACAAAATGTCGACTAAATTTCAACTTTGAAGTCTATTATCTCGAAAACTTCACAACAAAAACCAATTTTGCGGGGCTAATAGAAAATTTAATATTCTTTCCAATGATGTTTAATTGTAATCAAGCTTTCCAAATTTCATTGAAGATAGGATATTATTATATTCATGTGCATGTCAAGATTTCCAAAAATTTCCAAAGCCAAAATTGGGATTTCTTTTTGATTTTTTTTTTCAGATAAAAATTTTCAAATGTAACTAAATGTAAAAATTGTTGTGGACGAAGCGTCCATTTGACGTCGTTGAATCGGAGGTATATTTGGTCAGTGTTGATCGATTGAAAAGTCATATATCTACATAGTAATACCAATACATATATTATCTGATGCATAATAATAGTATATACAGTGGTTACCTACATAAAAAAGTGATAATTATTTTGCACTAAGTAGTTTTGGAAATTTTTGCCACTCGAATAATGATCATTCTCAAAGGGTTTTCCATTACATTTTCCAAACAATCTGAAATTGATGTTTTGCGCATTTCAGCAAGTAAAGAAGGATTTGTTTATCTCAATATTATTATACCCTATACCTCTGATTCATGAATCATCATTGAAGTAAGAAAAAAAGGGACCAGGGTAATGTAAACAAGCTATTGTACCTTTCTTATTTCATCCATTACCAAATCAGAATTTTAGTAAACTACTTCTAGCTGAGCATGTTTGGTATTAGACTTTAAGCATTGGACTTCCTCTTAACAATTGAAGTTGCGTTGCACTGATATCCAGGGCAACAAATCATGGTTTGATCATTTCTTTTTGGTAATTGGTGTCCCCTGGGGAGGCCGTCCACCATAATAGGTTAGGATCCCATTTGTTGCACGATTATACTATATACGGTAAGTGTAGCAGTGGGGCACTACCGAATACCGGCGAGAAATGGTTGAATTATGATTTGCTGTTGGGTGTCAGCTGCGCAGCGTGGTTTCAAGTGAATTCAGCCTAATGGGGCTTCAATATTATAGCTGAATGCTCTTCAACTTTGCCAGGCAAAATTGTTTTTGTGTTTTCCAGATGATGAGTCAAGTGATCATGTTCTATATTGTACCTAACTGAAATGTAGGAAAATCATTACTCAAAGATAGGGGGGGTAGGAGTTCGGCAATAAACACATTATTGGTATCTCCGATGTGTATTTGCCACTTTCATGACAGAATTATTTTGTTATTTGAGATCTTCCTAATAGTATTTTTTGTCTAGAGATATTCCCGATTGCCACTGTTCAAATTGTCACCCTGTATAGTGTAAAAACAATGGAGCACATAAATTGCAAAAAAAAAACAAAAAATTTAATTAACGAAATTAGTTCGTGTAATAAAAATTTATAGGTACTCACCTATATTTGTTTTTCTCAATTACAAAGAAGCATGCATTCTTATGTTTTAAAAAAGAGGACTATAATATATCTTGTAGGTTAAATTGAAATAACAACAAAAGTTTCACATAGTTGACATAAGTTGTTTATATTTTTGCAAAATAGGAATACATGCAGTAAACATTTTTATATTATCACAATAATAATAATTAATAACAAATAGAACTCTCCATCATAATATATAAAAATAAAATCAACCTAAAATAAATATGGAATTTAAATAAATACCACTGACATGGGGAGCGAGTAGTTTAAAAATGGACAGAAACGTTTCAATTATTTTTTTTATTGTATGTCAATCATATCAAACGTGTATCTATAATAATCACAAACTAGAATTGTGATTTGATACACATACCTTATAAGAAAACAATTTTTCTTTTCAAAGTTAACAAATGCGCGCATTCTAATAATACTCTTTATTAAGGCAATTGCATTTGTTTATGTCATCCACTTTTAAGTCAGATTTTATAGAATTTTGATTTAATTTGGAGATTATCACATTCTTCTCTTAGGAAAAACATTATTAAGTTGGTGAGGTAATTGTATATTCATTATTGTTTATACAAGTATAAAAGATGACATATTATTTTACAAATGCACAGCTCGCCTATTTCTTAAGTTGCCTTATAATTATTTATGTTGATTTTTAAAAAATCCTTCGTTATTTTTTTATCTAAGCATACTCTTGATATGAATAATTTATTTAAAAAAAAATCAAATACTAATACTAAAAACTATATCACATATAGAGAGTATTCTTATATATCATAAGTCTATTATTTTTATTAATTTAGTACATTATTCTTGTTGAATATCAAAGCACATTAATAACGCGGTTTTACCTATTAAACGTATTTTCTTTGAGCTTTTCTTTTAAAAACAGAATGTATTGTCGACGTCAACAACGGGGACTATTTAAACTCAGTCCATTTTTTTTTTTGTGGTGACTAGAAGCAACCCTTACAATCAAAGCAAATACTACCTTATATTAAAATGCAATACACACATTATGTATCGTTATTAGTATTATACAAAAAAACATTCCTTCTAAATATGTATTGGTTATCTAAAATTATCCATTATCGCTAAAATGAGCAAAAATACTGATATATTTCTTTTTTTTAATTAGATATTGTTATAGTATGTATGTAAGCGTATTAGTTAACGTAAAATTAACTTGATTGCCAACACTTTACTATCAAGCCCATTTTTATGCTGTATTTTGTAAAATAAGATTACACTTTGAATCCTAGAGGAAGTTACTAATACCCCCTTGATATGTTATATAAATCTCATACGTTGTTTGAAAGCGATATTTAATTGAGTACATAAATAAAATGAAACAGTTAAAAGTATTGCATGATGATTTTTAGATAACCAGCACTTGCTTTGAATATTATTTCATTAATTAAACACCAAAGGTGATTTTGTTAACATTCCTACATTAATATTTCAATACGGCTCAGTAGGTCATCTAAAAAAGCCTACAAAGAAAAGTTACTGCTACATCAAAATCACCTCTAAACAGAGTATTCATTTATTTATTTAGCAAATTAGTTTCAGTTCATTTCGGTTGTGGCCAATGGAACGCCCACTAGCGATACTGCTAGGTTTTTAACGTGCGTCTGCCATGTGGAGCTTAACTGGAAGAACTTGACGCCATTGAATTCTACTCCGTCGATGTATACTTTTTGGTTGAAAAAAATTCGTTTAATTTAAATGGTTTGTTAATGAATAACGAAAAAAAATCTCACCTCTCATTGGAGTAGAATGTGAAGCACGTGCGGAACATATTAGCCTAGATACTCCCTCCACGTTTTGGCATCGTTTTGGTTCGGATTCCTTTTCTTTTTCCTTCTTTTTGCCTAATCTCATAACTGCAAAGAATATTTTACAAAGTTAGAAGCTATTTGATGAATGAATGTGGACAATGTTCATTCCTGTCCAAGGTATGCTAGTCTTTACATAGCAAACACTGAAGATTTTATCAAGGAAAACGCCAGATCCTTCTGGAGCAATCAAATCAATGTTCCATTACTAAAGAAATGTGTTATAGCTCGAATAAGGCTGATAATGGTTGTGACATAGCTAACCTCTTTGCTCGATTTTTCTCTTCAGTTTATAACCCTACAATTATATTTAACAAAAGTATTTTTTCCACACACACCTTTCAGATATTCAGATTACTGCATTTGACATTGAAAAATCCCTCTCTGAACTCGACATTAATAAGAAAGAGGGCCCTGATGGAATCCCAAACAGAGTGTTCAAGCTTTGCTCTCACTCCCTGTAAATCCCCCTTTATTAAATATTTTTGAAGTCCCTTACCTCTGAAGTGTTTCCAAAAGTATGGAAATTGTCATATTATTATTTTAGTTTAGTTGGTCTGATAGTAGGCGGAAAGTCCAATAAAAACTGCCACTTTATAATCTTAACAATAAAACTTAATATGTAATGTACAAATTCGCGATTCACATGTGTAAGGTTTCTATCCAGTTTGTTTTTGAAAGTGTTCAAGGTTGGGGCATCCACAGTGTTTTGGATGAGTGTGTTCCATAGATTTACTACCCAGTTGGTAAGGAAGTTCCCTTTGGCAAGCATCGGTCTTATGCTTTATATATCTTCATAATGGTTGAACAGGAGTGATCCTTAAATGCTTTTTGGACAAGATATATGAAGGTGGTTGCTCTCTTTACTCTTTCCGCAATGTGGCTTTCCCATTTAAGATCATTTTGCACAACTACTCCAAGGTCTTTTTGGTTGCTGACATCTTTGAGTGTAGCGATCTTGATACATATTAAAAGATTTTTTTTTCACTGGCTGTGGCTATTTCACTATCATATTTTTTCCAAGCCTCGGTAATTAGCTGTTTTACTCGGTTATTTTGTGCCCCTTTATCTCTCATAGTGAATCGTGGTTCTGTTTCTAGTGTAGCAGTCCCACAAAGAGTGCCACATCTTCTTAAGAGCTTTGAAGATGTGGCAAGTCAACCAGGGGTTGTGTGGTTTGTTCTTTACGAACCTGAGAGGAATGCATTGTTCAATACTGTGATTTATGAGTTGGTAGCTTTGGTCGATATCAGGATCATCTGGGAGGTTGTTGAGGATATGTTTGTCCCATCCACAAATCAGGGCGCAAAAATAATGTGACTAATTACAGACCTATCAGTATTCTCTCAGCTATACCTGAGCTATTTGAACACTGTATTGAAAGCGTTTTGTCGGGTACATTACACCAAATTATAGTTAATCAGCAACATGGATTTACCTCCGGCCGCTCCGTTAATACCAACTTGTTCCTATTCACTAACTTTATCAATAGATCATTTGAAAACGGTTGTGAGATACATTCCATTGATATTGACTTTAGTAAGGTCAATCATAGTCTCCTACTCTCAAAGTTGTCCTGCTAAGGCATTGGGGATACTTTGATTTCTTGGTTGGAGTCATATTTATCAGGTAGGGTTCAGCAGGTAAAAAATGATGGTTATCTTTCGACTGAGTTTGTTGTTATATCTGGGGTACCTTAGGGATCTCATTTGGGACCTGTTATTCAGTTTATTCATCAATGACCTGGGTAATCTACTTTCCTCCAATTTTCTAATGTTCGCAGATGATTTGAAGATATTTCGGGAAGTATCATAAGCTCATGATATTCTCCTGCAAAATGATCTGAATACTGTATATGAGTGGTATAAGTTCAACGACATGTCACTTAATATCGACAAATGCTACTTTATGCGCTTCACTCGCCTGAGAATTTCTATACTCGCAGAATATTCCATAAATAATCTTGCTCTTACTGAGGTATTTGTTGTTAAGAACCTTGGGGTTCAGTTGGACACCAAACTTATGTTCGTAGAGCACATCGAGTTTATAATGGTAGAGCTAAAAGAATATTGGGTTTTATTAAAAGAACCAGCAAGGACTTTACCAATGTATTTGCTTTAAAGGTGCTGTATACGTCGCTGGTTCGATCCATTTTGGAATTTTCAAACTAAGTTTGGTCACCATATTATCAGGTTCATATACACAAACTTGAAAATGTTCAACTTAAATTTTTAAAATATGCTAAATATAAACTTCTTTGCGATGGCATTGAACTTGATAATGATCAGACTATGGTATATCTGGATTTAGCATCTCTTGTCCGCAGAAGAGAATACTATGATATATGTTTTGCATTTAATGTCCTGAATCATTGTATCAAGAGTCCGGAATGTTTGGAAAGATTCCGGATTCGTATACCTTGCTATCCAGGTCCTTGATGCATATACCAATTAGCCATTTTTGGTACTTGATGTATAGTTCTGTCAATAGAGTGTTCGCGAATGTAAATGAATTTTGTGAGACATTAGACTTTTTCAACATGTCACATATGAAATTTAAAAGCTGCACAAAAAGGACTGTTTAAGGTTAGGTAGTTGTTACATTAGATACTTTGTTAGTAATAGTTGATAGAGGTTTTAAAGTAAACTTAGAGGTTTTAAAGTAAACTTTCCAATAAAACTGTGGGAGCGTTTCATACATAAGTCATCATTCATCACTTCTCAAACTCCTCCTATCTTTGACATATTATTATACATATCCTGTACTTTTAATTTTTAAAAAATATTGCAAAATATATAGGTAGTACCAAAGGAAGATTTACGGAGTTTACCATATTCCTTGTATCTCTGTAGTATTTCTACTTTTCTCTCTCTTCTTAATGTTTAAATCCTTTTCCTTGATTTCAGGTAGTTTCACCAAAAATTTTCTGTTTCTCCTTAGAACATCAACTTCGGTCTGTCTGGACCATAAATGAATTTTGTTCTCGACATTGTCTTACAATGCTTCCATTACATTTTACATCTTTTATGTAAACTAGGTCATTGTCATTCAATTTTCGTAAAATTTTTGACATGTCTACAGTCATAATTTTTCTTTGCTTCTTCTTGTTCCTCTCTCTGCTTCTTCCAAACTTTTTCATGGTCAACTAGTTTTGGTTTTAGGTTTTCCTTTGTGGCAGGTAAAATTTCTCTAAGTTTTCTTCCAAATAGTAGTTCTGAAGGTGAGTTTCCACATGAAAGTGGTGTATTGGGGTATGCTAATATTCCAAATAAGGATCTTCACACTTTTTTAACAGTTTTATCACTAACCGTACAGCTCTCTCTGCTGAACCATTACTTTGTGGAAACCTGGGGCTACTTTTTATGTGGTTGAAGTTGAAAGTTTTTGCAAACTTCCTGAAACTGTAACTATCAAATTGTGGTCTACTGTCTGAGTATATCTCTGGAATTCCATAACTTCCAAAGATTTCCCTCAATTTTTCAATAATATCTTTACTTTTAGTTTTCTTTAGTGTAATAACTTCTGCATATTTTCAGTACACATCCTGTATGACAAGGTAGACTTGATTTCTGTACTGGAATAAATCTGCTGATACATGCTGAAATGGTAAGTCTGGCAATTTTCGAAGTGTCATAGGATCTATTACCTGATTCTGATTCTTCAAACATTCATGGCAATTTTGTACTGTTTCTATGATATGATTATTAATATTGTGCCACCCCAGAGTATGTTTTGCTCTAGATTTGCAACTATTTATGACTTCCAATGATGTCCAATATGAATTTGATTTAAAGTTTCTCTGTACATAGATAAGGGAATTAAAAGCCTGTCTTTGTAATATAACAAACTGTCATACTATGTAATTTCATTATGATACTTAAAATATTTTTGACATGTCTCAGTTACTTGTGATGCTTTTTTTGGCCATCCCTGCATGAGATATTCACTAAGTTTTTGAAACTCTTCTTGCTGTGCTTTTTCAACCATTTGGTGTGTAACTTCAAGTTATCTTCAGTTTCTTTCCTTATAACATTTACATAGCATTCAACTTCTTCCAGTACATCTTTTCCATTATCTATCGGTTTCAGTGGCTGTCTTGATAATGTTATCTGGTACATAGAATATTTTTTTCCAGAGACATGTTCAATCTCAAATGTAAATCTAGTTAATCTAAGTCCAAATTGTTGCAATCTTGCAGTCAATAGATTTCTTCTTCAGAATACTCAAAAGTGGTAAATGATCAGTTTGTATAGTAAATGATTTACCTATTAGGTACTCTTCCAGTCTTTCACATACTCATACAATAGCATATGCTTTCTTTTAAATTTGGGCATAGCGTTGTTGTGTCTCACTTAAACTTTTTGAACAAAAAATAACAGGAGCCCATCTCCCATCTGGTTGTAATTGTTGTAAACAGCCACCAATTCCGAAAGAACTCGAGTCTGCGAGAATTCTTGTTTCTTCAGTAACATCATAAGCCTTCAAAACTGGTGCACTTGTGACAAGTATTTTTAATTTATTAAAACACTGTTGATGGATATCATTAAACTGAAAAGTATTGTTACGTTTTAAAACTTCGCGTAGAGGTTTTGTTTCATCTGCAATATTTTTAAGAAATTTTGTAAGATGATTTATCATATCAAGAAACTGCCTCACATTTGTCACTGTTTTCGGTTCTTCAAAGTCTAACATAGCCTTTATGTCACTGTCCATTCTTATGCCCGATTGTCCGATAATGTGTCCAAGTAATTTTTCACTTCCGAAATGCCTATCTGACATTTTGACTCATTTAAGGTAAGTCCATTGTCTAGTTCTTTAAGCACTCTTTTTACCCTTTTATTATGCTGTGCAACATTTTCTCCAAAAACTGTAATGTCATCAATGTGTACTAATACCCCTTCATGGTTATTGGAAAGTCTATTCATTGAACTCTGAAAAATTTCTGGAGCTGAAGTAATTCCAAAAGGAATTCTCTTGTAAATGTACCTTCCAAAAGGTGTTAAAAAGGCAGTGAAGTGCTTCGAACCTTCTGATAATGGAAGTTGCCAAAAACTTGATACACAATCTAAATTTGAAAATAATTTTGCATTTATTATTTGTGCCAGTGTAGAATCCACGGTTGGTAAAATAGGTTTTTCTCTTAAATTTTTTTGATTGAGTTCAGTGAAATCAGCACATATTCTAACTTGATCATTTGTTTTGGGGACAAACCATTGGTGCACACCATAGAGTTGAGTAGGATTATTGAAATCCAGCTCAATTATCTCTTGATCTACCATTTTCTGTAGCTCCCTTTCAACTTTATCCATTAATGAAAGTGCTACTTATACTTTCAAATAAAACTGTGGGTTCGTTTCATACGACCTTTATTCTTTCACAAATTAGTCATCACATCTCAAACTCCCCCTATCTTTGACATAATTATACAGTAGTTTAAGTTAATAATCTTACTTGTAAATGTCGATACGTTGAAGAATAAATAAATAAAAAAAATATAAAATTGCTACTGCTACTTACTTTTCTGTTTCTTTTCCTTGTTGGCAATATGCATATTGACAACAAGACCCGACGTACTAGAGGGAAAAGCTTGCAGCCCTCTAAACACACCCTTGAGCGACGTCTTCCCATCTGTCTTAGTTTTATCCTTCTCTTTCTCAGCCTAAAACAAGACACGAAAAAGTAATATAAACATGCCCATTCCAAACTTCTATTTACCTTGAAAATAATATTTTCGTTATACTTTGAAGGCATTTGCCAATAATCGATTTGCAATTCAAGTGGTTCCCAGGGCGACTCGCGCACTTGCACGTTGGGCGAAGAGGGTGGCGTTAAAGAGGGAGTAGCTGTAGCTGGACTACTGCCGGATGAAAAATTATTAACATCGTCCATGTCCACAGAAGAAGCTAAAAGGATGCTACTCTCTGCTGGACCAACTCGAACTTCCTATTTATTATAGAAGAATTATTATTGTTAAAACCCTTTTAATTCAAAAACTTACATTAACAAATGGAATAAATAACTGACTAGTTTCATCATAGCAAGTCAACATGGCTTCTCCAATTGGCAATTGGGCCAATGGAGCAGAAGGTGGTACAGATATGTACCGAATCACTCTGAAATAATGCATACATAAATCTTTATCAAAGGAAAATTATTGTTGCTTACTTTTGAGCAACTTCGTCCACTTTCAGTTCATTAAGACATTCATTGGGCGGAAACATAGCCATGTACACTGAGTCCAATGTTGCCAAGTGCCTGCTAACAGCACAATTGACAGCAAAGGGCACAATGAAATTTCGTATGTAAGCCAACCATTCAGAAGGTTTGCTTGAGAGAATTTCTACAAAATGACGAACAAACCAGCCAATTAATGGATCAGCGCCAATTAGTACCATTTTGATGGGTGTTGTGGGTTTATTGGTGCAACTATTACAGCTGTAGCAGTAAATAAAGATTAGTTCACATCTACTACAAAGTACATTAACTTACTATTTATGAATTTTTGAAAAAATCGCATTAAGAACCGCCTTAACTTCAATTCCAGACATCGGCTGGAAAATTTTAAGTGAAGTTTGTTGATTTGAGGACAGTCTATTTGATAAACTCGAAGAAATATTTTCAGTCGGACCCAAGATTAGCACAATACATTCAGGAAGAATTATTTCCTCGGGCGGCAAGAGTCTCGCAATTTGTTCCAAAAATCCTTTGCGGACAGTGATAACTTCTGGAACAGCAGGAATATCGGAGCTGACGCTTAATGAATTTTTCTTTTTTCCAGCTGAAGCGGACGTCCTAAATAATTTAGATTTTTTCTCGCTCAACTCTTGGATTATACCTGAATATTCGTAGTCAACCTAAAAAATTGTATTTTTGAACTTTTCCTGTAAAAAATAATAGTAAGAACTTACTGGTTGTTTTTTAGCATTTGCTTGTTCGCGAGGTGGAGAACCTGTCTGTGGATCGCTATGGGCCTCGGGATCGGTAAAACAAAGATCTGCATTGCCGTCACTTCCAGAAGCTGTTTTTTCATCACCAATCTAAGATTTTGGGTATAAAAATATCACTCAAAAAAAATTGCTCAACTTGGCTCAACTAGAATTTAAGCCTCCAATCAATTAGCAACCAATACTTTAATGGCAAAATCAAATTAAACTGAGGTTCAGATTGGTTAGTTGGTAGATTTGAACTTAAATTCAAGTTAATTTTCGATTCTTACCCTCTCAGTTTCGATATAAGGAACAGTTGTGGACGCAGAAGATTCGAGCAGACTTTTGCTACTACTAAAAAACGGCCGTAAACTCGGTTTTGGCGTGCTTGTGATAGACATTGTGTCCTGTTCAGCACCAGAATCATCGTCGCAACTTAACGATTCCAACTCGTGGAACAGGGCTTGGATATCGCTGGGATTATCCAGATCTGCACCACGACCACCTAAGAGAATTTATTATGAATCTTAAAAAAACATAGTCTATTTTCTACCTGGTCACTTTCATTGATCTACAAAAATTGAAAATAAAAATTTGACATGCAGGATTGGATTAAATCTACAATATTATTATTATAAAACATTCAATCACTAGATGTTTTCGGAATAATTAAATACTTCACCTAACCACTCCAACAAAACTATTATGTATTAGTAAATGCAAGTTTATATAAAAAAAAAGAAAACTGAAAACGTAGGCATAATCTTGATTGATAAAAATACCAATGAATGATCATACAATGCTTATTCAAAAGAAAAGGGGTCATCATTATCATCAATACCAAAAACTTACAAGAACGTTGACTAGCACTAAATCCCGCCCGTCCCATCATGCTCATACTATTCGAAAAAAAATTATTACCCTCAGAATCTGGCACTCGGAATCGGCGCAACAATGACACGAATCGCTGTTTGAGATTATGTCCAGTGTGGGGCAGTTTCGTCCTTATTGGTTCGCTGTCGGACAAATCGCCAACTTCTTCTTCTCCCGATGATATTTCGTCGTCGTCGTCACTAACAGTAAAACAAAATAAATCAGTCAGTACCTAGGAGAAAATATGATTTCAAAATTCATAAAAGCTTAAATTAGCACAGTTCTTTGAGAATTTCTCACCTGAAATCGTGATCGCGATCTGCCTTGTGTTCTTGTTGATCGATGGGTGTTGAACTTACTTGAAGGATATACAATCGAGCACATGAAGCGATAACTTTTTCTTTTCCAGCACCTTCAGTTGTTGTCAAGTCTAGTTCCAAATCCAACGGTTTTTGAAGAACCTTATGGTAAGTATGTTGTCAATAAACTTAAATTTATAAGAACTCAAATTACCTGATCCATACGAATAATTCCTTCAGCCAACGTCTTGAATCCAAGCATAGTCCTGTTCTTGTACCTCTTCCGCCTTTGCAATAAAATATGAAGCTTATTGCCTTCACGCTTTAAAAAGTGTGGATATTGAAGGCAAAAAGTAACATCAAGAGGTGTATCCAGAGAACCGTTCGAAGCCAATATCAGTTCGTTGGAACGCAAAGTCCGTTTGCTGGATTGCATTTTTACTGCTATAGAAATGCTGGTGATATCTGACCCTAGGGGCTTTAAAATTTGCAGTCTTGTCAGAGTTAGGGTGCATAATCTGAGAAAAAATTGAAGTAACGTTAATCAAGATTTCAATAAATACTTCAAAGTATTTGAAAGATAATAAATAGAAGAAATAGGTGGAGTCTAGTAGTGCAAATCTCTAAATCCATGCAAAATAAAATATTGTAGGTATACCTACAAATTCCATTAAGAAATAGAAGTACCATTCAAAGATTTATTAGCTATTTGGAAACAAAGTTTTATATTGTCGTATTATAATACTATTGATACCTGACCTTTATTATGCTTCACACAGAAACAGTTCAGAGTATAAGAATTTTTATTTTTGAATAAGTATTTTATTTGGAACTTTTTCTTTCTGTGGTCAGGCCCCTAGAGAAAAAATTTCAAGAAAGATCAGAGAATTCTGACTGGTTGTATTTCATCTTATTGAAGACATACACCGATGTGTACCATGTGAGGATGCAAAACACTGAGCAGAAATGTATATTTTTTTTGCATTTAAGTATTAGGATGTGATTTTTCTTGAGGTCCATTCAATAGACAATAAAGAGTTTGAAGCACCCTGTAAAATATGCAAATACCGTGTAAAAATTAATACCACAGGATATCACGCTATAGTAGGTAGGTATTTATCCAGAAGAAAATAGTTTTTAGCTGCAATTACTATTACAAAAAATATCTAATAATGGTTTGTCCAGAATCAGAGAGGCTCTTAAAAACCTTGAAAAATTAAAAGCATGATTTAAAGATGTAATTTCAAATATTGATGGTATTTATAATTAAGTCATGTTACTACTTTTACTTCAAGTTTTACTTTCACTTCTTCTCCTTCACATTAGGAAAATTGTTTTTGTCTAATTTTATGTTTTTAAAGTGTCCACTTGTTTTGTTTGTGTGTGGTAAAGTGAAGGCAGGAGTGAAGGTCACTTTCAGGGTTTCATGAGGGGCTTCATCATGGTTATCATGAATGATATTAAAGGTTTCAATGAGGTCTCTCCCTCTCTTTCCTGTCTTTTAGGGTTGCTAGGTTGAACATTCAAAATCTGTCTTCATAGGGAGTATCCTTGACTTCACTAGTGATTTTCGTGAATCTTTTTTGACTTCCTTCTAGTGGTTCTATATCAATCATTCCAGGAATCAATCAATATCTGTATTTGCTTAAATAACAATTTACAGAGTTTTAGCATTGTTAGACAAAATTAAGAGGTAAACCGCTAAATATTCCAGTATACACTCCTTATGTAATCCCATGTATTCTTATTTTATCATGTAATCCAATGTATTCTTATGCATGCCCTATGTATTCTTATGTGTTTGTTTGTGTTCTCATGTATTCTCGAGTGTTTTCCTTCAAAATTCTAACGTTTAGTGCGTCCTCACTGCTTTTCCAAATTGTGATTATCTGCGGAAGTCAAACAAACATCCAGTGTTGCCAACTTGTCCCTTTTGGGGATATTTCGAGGGGCTTTTCACCCAGGGAAATCGGTGTACAAATTCCTGGGAATACTTGGAAATAGCTAGAAATACTTAGAAGTAGGTACCTAGAAATACTTTGGAAATACCTAGAAATGCTTAGAAATACTTGGGAATACTTCGAGGAATACCTAGAAATACTTTGAAATAGTTGGTAATATGTGCCGAATGATGTGAGAAAACAGTTTGTTTCTGAGTGCTGCTTTTTCTCATAAATTAAATACTTTTTTTGAACTTTCACAGTGCCAGTTTGTTTTATTTCATTGTGAGAACCTTGGTGAGAACCTCAGATTATTCAAAAAGAGGTCAAAAAGCAGTAATAACAAGGATAATAAAGAATCTTGTATTACCACTGAATTAAATAATGGTCGAAGTAAATTGGTAAGAAAGTCTGCATTATGTTGGTTTTTTAATGCTAATAATAGCAGACCTTCTACTGACCGCATTTATAGAGTTTAAGGGATGGGAAACCACAAAAAGTCAAAATCCAGAAAAACAGTTTTCTCTAGAGTTTCTAGCGGATTCTTGATTAAATCATGTAAAAGCATTAAAATTCCTTGCAAAATAATTTCTTACGTTGAAAAGTTATAGCTCCTCTAATTCATCATCGTATTTTGATTTTGATTCTGAGAACTTTCCTTTAAATACTATGCCATCTATTTTGATGAAGATTGGTATGGTATGTAAGCAGACTTTTGAGAATGACTAAAAAATCCTGTAACATGAAATTTTTAAAAAGAAATTTAGACAATTTTGAATGGCCTGTGAGCGTAGATAGTAGAGCGATTGAGAACAAGTTTTTTATTTGGCCCTATCAGCCCATTCCAAGTTTTGTTGGTATTTCGAGTTTCCTCTACTTTCAGTATACCTTGTGAAATCAATGCAGTGGTGACGAAGTGAAATTTAGCCTATTGTTAAAATTAAATTAGTTAGTAGCTAAAACTTTAAAATATTAGAATACTTGGAAATACCTGGAAATACTTGGAAATACTTACAAATACTAAGAAATATGTACTCAGAAATACTTTGAAATACTAGGGAATATTTGGAAATACTACTTAGAAATACTCGAAAATACATGGAAATACCGTGAAATGTTAAGAAAGATGGAAATCAGTGTATAAATTTTGGTAGGTGAAAGCCCTTCGGGCTATTTCGAACCTGTTCAACCGTTCCAAGTCATACCACTATTATTATCTCCAAAACGGTAAAAGGGACGAGGACGGTTAAATTCGTTAAATTGGACAAAAGTGGTAGATTTTAGTCATTGAAGTTAAATTCACAGGGTTGCCAAATTTTTGTACGTTTCCGAGATATAAGGGAAAATGGCGCGAAAACGGCTATTTCGTTATGACGTCATTACATAGTACCACAAAATATACAGCTAGAGCGCGATTCAGCTACATATTCTGTGATAGTACTTAAATTACAGTGTTGTCAAATGTTCGTATATGTAATACAATTTTGTGCAGTCACATACATTGCACCAAAGTTAAATATTTGTAATAAAGTGTTATCCAACTTTGCAGTTTTTGTTCACTACTGTTTGGTGTTTATTCATTATTATTGTTATTATTATAATTTATTTATTCTTCATGCTAATTGCCTTATTTCAAATGCTGAGTCAGTTAGATAAAATAAAAATATGATATTCTTTTTCCCAAATAAAGGCATTTGGTTTTTCAATTTATGGGATATTGTTTCACAAAATTTAATAAAATCGTCTGGCTGGAAATCCGAGTGGAAATCCTACACTGTTGTCAAGTGTAGCATTGAATTCAATAGTTGAATTTCCTTCAAGTGTCTTCTATTGAAGATCCAACTTAAAAAATTATTCTTCAAGTAGTCATGTTCTTGCCAACTATTTTTAAAAAAATAGTCTCTTTTGGTAAAAGTTTATTTATGATAAATACAAAAGTAGTTACCTATATCTGAAATAGTACAACTTTACCACCTAGGAATAAAATGCCAATCTGACAACATAGTTATTTAGTACAATTATGGAAATTGATTTGGCAACGTTTAACGAGTTGTCACCAGGGTTGCCAACACTCCGGTTTTGACCCGGAGTCTTCGGATTTCAAGGTAGTTCTCCAGTCTCCGGATTACATGTATATTTCTCCAGGTAGAACTCGTAGGAGTTATATAAAACGCAAGATACAAACATAAAACATGTTTCTTGGAAAATTCATAACAATACATTTTAACCTCAAATTGCTGAAAATAATTTTTTTCGCGATAACCAAATACTGGCAAATAGAGAGAGACAACGTGATAGAATTCACTGAGAAGGTCTGTTCTCTTCTCTGAAATCACAAACCAGTCAGGGGGGCTTTATTTGAAATTGATGCAACTTTGCGTACATGCAAATATGACGCAGATGACGTCAGTTGCGATTGAAAAAGTGCATGTCAAATAAGCCGTGCACCAATTTTCAATCGCGAATGACGTCATTTGCGTGTACGCAAAGTTGCATCAATCTCAAATAAAGCCCCCCAGAGCGAATTTCATTGGTTGAAAATAGTCAGAAAACTGGTTATTGACGATTTGCACCAATCAAAAACGCTCTGACTTCTAGAAACACAGCTCATGGAGTCTGTTTTCAATTTGATGTTGAAATGATTGGGTGATTTGCGTCACTCAAAAATTTTTTCTTCAACATTTAAGAGTGGTGAAGGAGAGAGTTGAAAACTATCGCGGTATATGTATACAATCAGCCATACCAAAGCTGATTGATTGTCTTATTAGCAAACAATTAGCTTGGCAATGCAAAGGTCTTATTTCACAAAAACAACACGGATTCTCTCAGAGTAAATCAACTGCAACCAACTTAATACTTTATCAGTCTGCTATCTTGCAAAATATGGAAGCCAAGAAGCAGACAGACTTTATATATACAGATTTCTCTAAGGCTTTTGATCGGGTTGATCATCGGGTCCTTCTTCAGAAACTGCATAAAATCGGTTTTCACTCAAACTTTGTATCATGGGTTGAGAGCTCGCTTACAGGCCGTGTCCAGGATGTCAAAATTGGGTGCTTCAGCTCTGAGACTATCCAAGTGACGTCTGGTGTGCCACAGGGCGGACACTGTTCACCCTTGCTGTTCAACATTTTAATGAATAACATTGTGGATTGTTTTATAAATAGTAAATGTTTAATGTTCCCCGATGAGCTCAAGTTCTGGAGAGCGGTTGAAAGCTTCTCCGACCAGGATCGTATGCAGGAGGATTTAAATCGCTTGGCAAAATGGTGTGGAATAAATAAATTATATTATGTATGAATGTTAAAAAATGTTGTTTTGTGAGCTTTACCCGTGGATCAAATAAATTTGTAACCAGCTATACCATTAATGATCAGCGGCTTGAATATGGCTCTTCTGTGAGGGATCTTGGTGTTATCTTTGACGAAAAACTGTCTTTTGTTGAACATATTAATGCCATTTCTATGAAGAGTTCAAAAATGTTGGGTTTTGTTATTAGAAATTGCAATTTTTTTTCAATTGAGTCCACTCGAGTGGTGTATTGTTCATTGTTTCAGTCAACCTTGGAATACTGTTCAGTTGTGTGGTCGCCATATTACCAAGTCCATTCTGACTCATTGGAAGGAGTCCAGCATAATTTTTTCCGGTTTTGTGCTTTCAAAAGTAATTTTAGATATAGGATTGTCAACCATGACTATGGGATTGTTGAGCAGCAACTCTTTTTGCCTCCTTTAAGTAAACGCCGTAATATGTTTGGCTCTGTCTTTACAACGAAAATTATAAATGGCTGGATTGACTTCCCTAATCTCCTGGCTCCAGTTGGTCTCAATGTTCCCTATTATCATTTTTATTTATTTATTCATTTATACTCCTACAAACACATGTAAATGTACTTAAATGTAAGAGTGCTTACTGGATAAACTAGACTTAATCTAAACTAATAATTAAGACTATGTATAAAATAAGAGGCAAAATATAAAAATATAAAAAACCAACGAGGAACAGAAACAATAAACCAAAAATATAAAAACAGAAAAAAAAGAGAAAAAAGTGATTCACTCATCACTATAGATAGGCGATCACAAATATCACAATACATTATTATTCAATATCCAACACTTAATTTGTTCTGCTGTCGTACTGAAGAGGTCTATATCACCCTCCTCAATAAAAAAAATTACATTCACGCATCATGCGATTTATAGGAGAACTATTTGAGGGTAGACATTGAAAAAGTTTATTATCCCTTATTCTTAAATTAATTTTAGGAACTAGAAACATTATATCATTAATTAAGGAACATTTTTTATACTTTAAGTTGTTAACAATATTGTAAATAAATAAAACATCATTCAAACTACGCCTGACACTCAATTTCACCATTTTAAATTCTACCAGCATACCATTATAGGAGACCATGTAAGAATACACTTTGTGAGTTTTCAAATACAGGTACCTTAAGAATCTCTTTTCCACTTTTTCAATCATGTCAGCATGGCACATTGTTTGTGGTGACCAAATAATTGAGGCGTACTCCAAATTAGGTCTAACCAGAGCATTATACAAAGTTATTATTGTCCTGACATTTTTACAGTATTTTGTATTCCTGATTACAAAACCAAGAAGCTTAGATGATTTATTGACAATGGCTTCATAATGCCATAATGATCTACATAATCAGAGTCTCTTTAGTGTTAATAAATAATGTTGATATAGACATACTTAATATAACTCTGCCTTCACTCAGGAGAGCTTTTCTGATGTGATTGTTTTTGTATCATTGGGGAATATTTCTTTGCATTTTTGTATAATTTTGGATTACTTATAAACAAATGTATTTATTGTTTTATATTGTTTGTTAGAATAATTAGTTTTAATCTCGTTTCAATTAATTTGAATTTGATTATGTACCTAACTTTGAAAACTTTGTATCTATGTATAACCGGTGTGAAGTTAGCAGCCTTTTTCTGGCAGCCAAAATTGTGAAGTTAGCAGTCATTTTCAGCAGCCAAAAATGTGAAGTTAGCAGCCATTTTCAGCAGCCTTTTTTTATTTATATTTTTTCAACGTGAAGGTAGTTTCATTCATGTCTATGGTAGTTTCCTCAAACCAACATGATGTGAGGAGGCTGTTAGGACACACAAAAAAATACATTCAAAAATTTACTAATGTCTTTTAACAAAGTTTGTCTAAAATATGATTAACTTATGAATCCTTCAACACAGCTTATTAGGGTGATCAATGGTGATTAATCTGCAAGCTAAAGCTTCGAGCTTTCACGATCCGTCAGGGTTGAAAAGAAAAACACCCCCATATATTGAAAAAATCGCAGAAAAATAGTAAAAAATGGTGTGCGTTAATAAAACTTTGCACACAGCTCATTGAGGTGGTGATGAACCTAAGAAATGAAGGACAACCCCTTACGACCCGTCAGGATAAGAAAAAACCACCCCCATATGTTGAAAAAATCGCAGAAAAATAGTAAAAAATTGTGTGCGTTAATAAAACTTTGCACACAGCTCATTGAGGTGCTGATGAACCTACAAAATAAAGGACAACCCCTTACGACTCGTCAGGGTAGGAAAAAACTTCAAAAAACCACCCCCATATGCTAAAAAAATCGCAGAAAAATAGTAAAAAATTGTGTGCGTTAATAAAACTTTGCACACAGCTCATTGAGGTGCTGATGAACCTACAAAATAAAGGACAACCCCTTACGACCCGTCAGGGTAGGGAAAAACCACTTCCATATGTTGAAAAAATCGCAGAAAATTAGTAAAAAATTGTGTGCGTTAATAAAACTTTGCACACAGCTCATTGAGGTGGTGATAAACCTACGAAATGAAGGACATCTCCTTACGACCCGTCAGGGTAGGAAAAAACCGCCCCCATATAAAGAATCATTAGTCCATAGTTTTGAGAAATTTCAAACCACCTAAATACGGCTTCTGCTTTTGAATCCTGGAAAAGCTGATAAATCAGAAGAAATAGAATCAGTTTATTTTCTAATTTGTGCTTAAATAAAGGCTCGTATTTCTAAGGGTTCAAGTACAAATAACAATGGTAATATTGTAAATACAAGCAGTAATCCTTCAGCATCTAATAGAATTAGTAGTTCTTTTTCTAATACTAAACTACCTCATATTGACACTTCATTTTGATGGGAAAAATTTGAATAACTACAAGCCTTTTATAGAAATTTTAATGGCTGTTATTGACAAAAATCAGACTTTGTCTGAAAAGTAGAAAAATATTCTCGAAATTCCTAATATGCAAAAAGGCATACTCATTGCTTCAAGAGATTTTATGAGCCGGATCAAACAACAAATCGGTGCTCCAAAAAATTTAAAAAAGCCCATACATCAATGGGACATGATCTTGATATGTATTCTACGTAAAAAATCAAATCAGTTCACTAATAGATCTTATCAAATGTAGAGAAACACATCAAAGTTGCCCACTTCAAATGACCTTTTGACATATTAAGAAAGTAGGGCTAGGGCATCAGGCGCTAGTGGTTCTGTTGAGAGAGGCATTCAAAAGTCACAATTTTTTCATTTAACTCTGAAAAATGTGTGTGCAAAGTTTGATTACCGCACACAATTTCTTTACTATTTTTCTGGGATTTTTTCAACATGTTTTTTCCTACCCTGACGGGTCGTAAAGGGTTGTCCTTCATTTTGTAGATTCGTCAGCACCTCAATGAGCTGTGTGCAAAGTTTTATCAACGCACACAATTTTTTACTATTTTTCTGCGATTTTTTCAACATATGGGGGTGGTTTTTTGAAGTTTTTTCCTACCCTGACGAGTCGTAAGGGGTTGTCCTCTATTTTGTAGGTTCATCAGCACCTCAATGAGCTGTGTGCAAAGTTTTATTAACGCACACGATTTTTTACTATTTTTCTGCGATTTTTTCAACATATGGGGGTGGTTTTTTGAAGTTTTTTCCTACCCTGACGGGTCGTAAGGGGTTGTCCTTCATTTTGTAGGTTCATTAGCACCTCAATGAGCTGTGTGCAAAGTTTTATTAACGCACACCATTTTTTACTAAGTATTTTTCTGTGATTTTTTCAATATATGGGGGTGTTTTTTTTTTCAACCCTGACGGATCGTGAAGGCTCGAAGCTTTAGCTTGTAGATTAATCACCATTTATCACCCTAATAAGCTGTGTTAAGGGATTCATAAGTTAATCATATTTTAGACAAACTTTGTTAAAAGACATTACTAAATTTTTGAATGTATTTTTTTGTGTGTCCTAACAGCCTCCTCACATCATGTTGGTTTGAGGAAACTACCCTCTATGAAACTACCATAGACATGAATGAAACTACCTACCCACGTTGAAAAAATATAAATAAAAAAAGGCTGCTGAAAATGGTTGCTAACTTCACAATTTTGGCTTCCAGAAAAAGACTGCTAACTTCACACAGGTCTATGTATATAACAAGTTAAAAGGGGTTTTCCCGTGGATATATAAATAAATAAATAAGTAAATGAAAAATAAATAAATTGTAGGTATAGAGTTTAATAAGTGCTTACTATGTTGTAACTGAAATTAAATGTTTTATTTTCAGTTTTTGATTTTTTATATGTTTGTTTTGCTGTTTTAATTAAACTATTTTTGGAAAACCCCATTTCTATTTCAGTCGCAGAAAAACCTCCGGGTGAATCAATTTCAAAAGTTGGCAACCCTGGTTGTAACGTGAACCAATCAAAATCGTTTCTGGAAATTCAAACTTTTGATGATTCCCAATTTTAAATTTCTCAGAAAATTATTATTCATATTTGACAATGTCCTTTTGAATACTCTTTTTCAGGCAGATATGATGAAAATTCTTGAATACAAACTTTCTGCAAGTAGGTAGGTACCCTTTTATGGAATGCATACCTATTGTGTGACAGTACTCCAGTTTTGTACAAATAAAAACATAATATTTTTCTTATGATATTCTACAGATTTTTTACTGAGCTCTTCTAGTAAAAACCCTTTGTTCCACCAATGTTTTTGTCTAAACATGTATGAAGAAAATACTACAAATCCCACTTGCTGATTCTATTAGTTTTTGTTTATTCTGGACTAGAAGTTTCTAATATTTGGATCAATGAAAGCCTCATAATGCCTTGCCACCAACTCTTAATATTTTTAAGTACCCACACTTGATTCTGCTCAAAAAATTGACCTTCCAGTATTAACTTCATACTTTTTGTGTGCATTTTGCAGTTCAAACAAATAATGAATAAGTACTTAAATATTAATAATAGTATGATAGGTCAGGGTAGGTACTACTAAGTTCAGGGCCCCCATAACCTAGTGTTTATACTATTTCTTGATTTTGTTTGTATTAGTCACATGAGAGGGTCCTCATAAATTATAATACATTAAATAGGATTTATATTACTCATAAATTATTCCAAGCATAAATTAGTGACTCATATTAGTGGGAGGTTTATCTAAATTGTATGTAAATAAACCCTTACCTAGGAATACAATTGGAGGGTGTTCTATCGACCCAAGTGGCATAGAGTCGCATTTTATTCGGAACAGCGGACGCTCCCGCGCCGGAGTTAATAAATCTCGTCGTCTTTTCACTCATTTTCTTCAACAATTAATTCTTTATTAAAACAAAGAACCTGATAAATTTTCATCCATTGGATCAAAATCGAGTTTGTCCTGTAAATTTTTTGGTTCGCTTACATGTCTCTTATATATTTAATATCGATCGTCTATAGTGTAAAGATTTACAGTATAAACACTATAAAGACACTACAAAAAACTAGGATTTTTGCGGAGAAAAACACAATTATTCTCGCCTTTCTTTTACACTTTTTTTTAATTATCAACAAATCAAAATTTTGACAAATGACATTCTGAATGTGACAGTCTATAATCAATAATTAATGACGTCATAAATATGCTCTCAGTCAGAACTAACCCTAAATATTGAAGAAATAAAGAAAAGAGTAATTTTTCTGGAGCCAGTGAAATAAAAATGAATATTAATTTTAAAATAATGCTAGTTAGTTCCTTCTAAGCTTGCTCGGAGGCGATAATTTCCGAGCAGATAGAGCAAATTCAAAATTCTAGGGCAGCCTTTAAAGTGTCATTTGTCATTTAATAGATGACGCTGACAGCAGTGACAGTTGCAGAGTGGTGTTTTTGTAATTTGGTGAATTTTTTCTCAAATTTTTTAAAAAATATTTAATTAATACACATTTCCATAACTTCAAAATTAAACTTCAACCACAGTAAGTATTTATCTAATATATATTATTATTAAAGCATCTTGTTTCCTAATATTGAATTACTTTAGATAAAATGTTATGTAACATGAAAATAAGGTTATGTAATTTGAAATTTTTTAGCTTAAGAAGTCCAATTTTTTTCAATTATTTCAGTTACAATGGCCGCAATGAGATCAATGTCCCGTCTTTTGACCAGCAGGGCTTTAAATACCACCATCCGACGGGGCTACGCTGAAGAAATGAACTTTACTTTTGCTGCTGGAAACCAAGTGAGTGATTCCTTCGATTTCCGGCAAAATCATTTCATACAAATTTTTAGGTATTTTATGATGGAAAAAGTGTAAAACAAGTTGACGTACCATCATTCTCAGGCAGTTTTGGTATCCTCCCCAAACACGTCCCCACTTTGGCTGTCCTCAAACCCGGAGTAGTTTCTGTATACGAAGAGGATGGTGGTGTCAAAAAAATCTTTGTATCCAGTGGTACAGTTACTATTAATGAAGACTCTTCAGTACAGGTAAACTATAATAATAATTTGTGCAAACCAATTAAATGATAATTGTTTTATATAGATTTTGGCTGAAGAAGCACATCCAATAGAAAATATTGATGCTTCAGCTGCTAGAGAACTTCTCACTAAATCACAAAGTCAACTTTCTTCAGCGGCCAACGATCAAGTATGTGCGATAATTTTAAATGAAATATTAGTTTTTTAATAAGTTTATTATTTCAGGCTAAAGCTGAAGCAGAAATCGCCATTGAAGTTTCAGAAGCTTTAGTAAAAGCTGCTGAATAAATTTAAGTCTCAACAAATTCACTGTTAATATATCTAAGATAGTGTCTGATAACTTTTTTGTTTATAATTATGTACTTCTTTATTTAAGAAATAAAATTCTTGTTAAAAAATAAGGGAGTGAACTCTGCGCCTACCGGTAGGTCCTGTTTGTTTCATTGAATGTATATGTATAACCTTCACTGAAACATTATGGTAGGTCTCAAATTGCCACATGATATAACACCTATCAGTAGGTACTGTTTATAAAAAGAATCCTGCACAGGGACTCTGTGTCATGTAGAATTTTACATATCGACAGGTATCTAGGCAGTGAGGCATTCAATATTTTTCGATATGTCGAATTCTACATGAGACGGAGTCTCGCCGCTGAGCCTACCGGTAGGTTCATACTAATTTAAGAATCCATCACCTACCTACTTTTTATTGATACCTACCTTACCTAACCATACCTGCATTCACAAGAAGGTGGAGAGTGAAGAAGGTGATATATTTGAAAAAGGTTTTGCACATTCCTGGTGGATATACGCTCCCGAGAATTTTCTCTTTGAAGTTTGGCGAGCGGAGCGAGCAATCAAGAGACTCAAAAATAATTTCAATTTCAAGGTGATATACCTATTTAATAAAGGTTTTTCACTTTTTTGGTGGATTTACGTTTCCGAGCAGCAGGGTATTCTCTTTGAGATTCTTCGAGCAATCGGAGAGTCAAAAATAATTTCATGGTGTATGCAGAACGATTTTCAATAGGTTGTCTTGTAAAATGAAGCAGATTCCAAACATCAACAAGCTTAAAGCCCAAATTAGAAAGATGTTTGGTACTAATAAAGGCTTATTTGTCAGTGGACAAATTTCTTAATGACGATTCTACAAATAAACAAAATTTTATTAACCCATTTAGCATTAGCAAGAGCTGACTGGTGGGATATATGGATTCTAAAGTAATAAAACACCTTTCAGTAGGCGCTTGATCAATTGATGAAAAAGGAACCTACCGTAGGTGTACAATCGGTGGATGAAAAAGGGCCTACTGGTAGGCGTACGATCGTTGGATGACAAAGAACCTACCAGTAGGCGTAGGGTTCACTCCCTTAAAAAAATAATTCCAGACTCTTATTACAGCTCAACATTTTAATTTGAAAAAAATATTTTTATTATTTTCCTTTATGCTTAATTTTTCACAAATTTTAAAATACAATTACATATTATCTTACATAAATATCAATAAGTTAAAAATAAAACTGATTTCTAATACTATGTACTGTAACTGCAATAAAAATATTGCTAAATATTTATAGTAATTAGAAATAACTTATTCACAAATTAAATCTGCATAATCAACATAATTTAATAAAAAATATAAGTGTTTTTGTACTTAAAAATATTTCTAAAAAGTTACATAATTATTAAAAATACTATATATAAGCTTAAATCTAATATAATAATTAAGTACTGACCACTAATTGTGTAGAAAAAGTGGCACACCTAGCGATATTTACAGCATCAAAAAGGCCTGCTTTTTGGTGTATCTTTGGATAAATCGCTAGATACCTAACAAAAATATGGCACCAATACTGGAAATATAATTTGATAATGGGCGATAATAAATTACATAATGATATAAAGTGTGTAAAATTAGGAATTAAAATTTATTATTTCGAGTCCTAACTAAGAATTTGTTTTTGGTCACTTAAAACCTAATCGCCTTAATAATAAAGATCACATTTTTCTTTGTTTAGTTCCATTTCTATTGATCCTTTTTTTCTGATGCATCACCGTTTTGGATAATTAACTCTGAGGCAAATCTAGACAAACAAAAAAATCTAATTATACAACCAAATGAATCATCCAAAATATCTTCTCACCTATCTTTATTCTTTTCATACGCTTCCTTAGCAATCGCTTTCAAATTCTCCTCCATTGCTGCTCCAGTCTGAGCTACCATTTTCGCAAAATAACTGGAGGGATTTTGCAACAACTCGTGAGGAGGAGCAAACTCCACAGCTCTCCCAGCATCCATCACCAACACCTTATCATAATCCATAATTGTATTAAGTCTATGGGCTATAGTAATAACTGTGCACTTATCAAATGCTTCCCTAATAGTTTTTTGAATTAAAGAATCAGTGTGTCTGTCTACATTTGCAGTAGCCTCGTCCATAACCAAAACTTTATTATTACGCACTATAGCTCTAGCTAAACAAATCAATTGACGTTGGCCTGCACTGAAGTTACCACCTCCTTCGCTTACAGCAGTGTCTAGGGAGACACCATTTTGTTTTAATTCAACACGTTCTAAGGCTTTCCACAGTTGTTCGTCTGAACATTTACCAAATGGATCCAAGTTATATCTGGAAATAATTCATGGATTTCAGGATTTATTTATAAGTGGCGAGGATAGTTGGAAGAAGGTTTGGGGAATATGCTGAAACGATTGGTAAAAAATGTCTGCAAAACACATTTTACTACTTAAATTCAGTTTTGGATCAAGATTTGCCATTCATCATTAGAAAGAAGTTTGAACCACCATATTAAAATTTTTTACCTCAACGTTGCTGAAAACAAAATAGGCACTTGTGGTATAATGGAGATGGCAGATCTAAGAATTCTAAGTCCAACTTTGCCGGTGTCAATAGCATCAATAGCTACGAGACCATCAACTTCTGCTAGACGGAATAGGGTGGCAACCAATGAGGATTTTCCTAAACAAAAATATTATTAGTTAAATTTTATTAGTTATTAAAAAAAAAGGTTACCAGCTCCTGTTCTTCCAACAACACCTATTTTCTCTCCAGGTTTAAACTCGGCATTCAAATCCCTAATGGACGGAGGACTGTCACTTGAATATCTCAAAAACGCGTGTACGAACGAAACTTTTCCTTTCTGAGGCCAATCCAGTTGAGGTTTGTCTCCGGGCAAAGGTTCCCAAGGTCCTTCAGAGTCCAATTTTGTGTATTGTAAAACACGCTCTACACTGGTCATTGTAGATGAAACTTCAGCGGACTGACGAACGCCGTACTGGAGCAAACCAGTCAAAGCTAAAGTTTGCGAAATAACCAGACCCACATCGCCGGCTTTTAAATTTTCATCGCCGAATAAGAGAAACTGGAAAGTGGTGAAAGCTAAGAAAATTGTACTGATGACGTCCAAGTAGAAACCTAGGGATTCGCTAGTGGCACCAAATAGGAACCAAGTACCAGTGTGTTGATCTTGTAAAGAGTCAAATTCTTCGACAATCAAACTTTGCGCCTTGAAAGCTCGAATTATGGGCATTCCATATAAACTAGCAGAAACATGCGAAAATACTGGAGCTCTTGTGGCTCCTTCCAATCTTTTAATATCCTGGCCAGCCTTCAAATATACTACCCTAGCGTACCAGAAAATGACACCCAATATTACTGCTGGTATAATCATCCATGGACTTTTTATAAAAACCTAAAATAAAAATTATCCTAAAATGCTACATAAAACATTGCATTATAATTACCATTCCCAGTATGCCAACCATGATAAAGAATATCTGCAAAGTTTCCAGAACAACTTTTGGCAATGCTTCGTCCACAGCCCCCATATCTTTTGAAAAGCGATTCAAAATCCTTCCAGAAGGGTTTGTATCGAAAAATTTCATTGGAGCTTTCAGGATACAGTTGAACATTTTATTGTGAAGGGCTTTTGAAGCACACATACAAACGTTCATAAATAATGTGGATCTGGCTGTAGTCAGTATAATGGATATTAAGATTAGGCCAGTGTAAATATAAATGTAGCTATATGTGTCTAAGCCAGAAGATTCGTCAGGGATAAATTCTAAAGAGTTATTATAGATCGATTGTGTGGTGTTTTCTATAAATGATATTGTTGAAGTGAGGTTGGATGAAAGGGCGTCAGTGATATTATTTGAGATAATATCGTTTGGAAGTTTTTGAGGTTTAAGCTCTTCTTGATTGGTCCTAGATTTAAAAAAAAAGTATTTTTATAATGATAATTATTGATATGAAATTTACTTACCAATAAGTAATCCACATGTCAGCAGCATTACAAGAGGCCTGAGCGATTAAAAATAGGACTACTAAAAATATTAAAATCAAAATGGAAGTTCCTGAATTGTAGTATTCCACGTAGGTCGACGTTTTTAAGGCACCTCTTTCTAATAATTCATCAGTTTCTTCTGGTTCATCCCAGCTCTAAAATAAATTTTAAGAATTAGGTATCAAAATATTGAGGAAAGTTATATATTGTTACTTACGGCTAATGAAGCAATTGACTGTAAAGCCAATGACAATCCTCTATCCCTGTCTTCTACTTTGGGTGTCTGTTCCCTATCCAATTTCTGTTCTGCAGCCTGTATCATGTGCTGTTGTTCAATTTCCCTGGAAAGTGTTGATAATTCTTCTGAAAGCTCTTCATAGGACCCCATCTGTTCAATGTTACCCTGCAAAATCCATTGTTACAGCAAACCTCTTGATAACACACAAAAGCTTACGTTATTCATGACAATAATGAGATCAGCCCCTTTTAAAAATTGCACCTGATGTGTGACAAGTACCCTGGTTTTGCCCCTTAAGTAGCCCTGAATGCAACCTTCAAATAAATGTTTGGCCACGTGGGCATCTACTGCACTTAATGGATCATCCATTAAATAAACATCGGCATCTCTGTAAACAGCTCGAGCAAGAGCTACTCTAGCTCTTTGGCCTCCACTCAAGGCAGCTCCTCTTTCGCCTACATGTGTGCGATCACCATATGGCAATTGTTCAAAGTCACGTTTAAGTGCACATGCTTGTATTGCAAATTTGTACCTAGAAATTATATCAATTAGTAATTAGATACTATGCGTTTTCATGTGTTTTACCTTTCTTTCACATAAGGAACTCCAAATAGAATATTTTGCCTAACGCTGGATACAAACAGCCAAGGTTCTTGGGAAGCATAAGATACGCTTCCAACTATTTTAAGACTGCCACTGGTTAAAGGAAGCTCTTTTAATAGAACCTAAACAAACGCATTTATTGAAGTATTAAACAGATAAGAAAAAAATCTTAACTACCTGTAACAAGGATGTTTTTCCAGAACCAACAGGGCCAACCACACAACACAAAGTGCCAGGTTTTAATTCTACATTAATTTTGAAAAGTGTCTCTACAATAGGATTTGGTAGCCAACTAGCTGTAACGTTTGTCAGTTTTACTAGTCCTGCATTTTCAGCTTCATCTTCTAAACTAGGAGGATCGACGTTTTCCTCTAAAGCTAAAAATTCTTCTATTCTTCTCATTGATACCTTGCATTCCTCGTAAGTGGCCAAGGCCAAAGGAAAAAAAATGGCCATATAAAGTTGGACAGTGTTTAGAAGTTGAGCCATTGAAAAAACAACATCACCTAAAATTAATATTTTTTGGTTTAATTGGTTAAGTTGAAACAATAATTATTACCTCTGATTTCATTTCCCATTAAAACCCAAGTTATCACAGCAATATAAAGGGTGGCCCTTTCAGTGAAAAGCATCAGAGCCAACGAAAACCCTTTGATGTATGAAGTTTTTTGTACAATATCGATTTCTAGTTTTCTTGCGGTTTCGACTATTTTTTCAAAAGGCCTTTCCCAAGCATACATTTTTATTACTTGAATCCCTGAAGTAATTTCACTCATTAATTTTACCCTGTTGTCTGTTAACTGAGCTATCCTTGCTCTTAATCTGCCTTGCATTTTTGATAAATAACCTGTAATGATTTTTTTTTAAAAATAAATGTTTATTATTTTTTGCGAAGGAAAATGTACCTTGTGCTAGAACAGCTTGTATAGTAATAGCACCCATAGATGGAAGAGCCGCTAATCCAATATAACTATACATAATACCCAAAGATATCACAAATAGTATAGGAGTGATCCAAAAGTAATGAAGGAACCAAGAAATCATGTCAAAACGGATTACGTCGTTTGAGAGTAAATTCACTAGCTGACCAGCAGCTGTTTTGCCTAGAGAGGCTTGGTTCAATTTGAGAAGCTAAAATATTAATAAAACTCAAAAACACTGAATTACTACACTACAAGACAAACCTTTCTATAGATCAAAGAGCAAGCGGACACACGAACCCTCATGCCTATTCTTTGCAATCCCATGTTACAGTAATGCTCTAAAATTACTTTAAGCAATGTTAAACCTACTACAGCGCCTCCAAGTAACCATCCTCTTTCGATATGCTTAAAACTTTCCTTGGGATCATCGTAGAATTTAATATAATAGGCTAGGAATATTGGTATTAACATTCTAAAAAAAGAAATTGAAAATGATGATCCCAAAAATTTACATAAATATTCTAAAACAGGCGAACCATTAATCATGTGCAATTAATAATTAATTAGAAATAATCAAAACCAGTCATTCATAAAGATAATAAGCATATTTTATAATTTCCTTGGTTGATTTAATTGTAAATAAAAATAATTTTTGTATTTAGGTATTGGCAAACTGCAATAATTATTTATGTTTGTTCTGAGAATGCCCCAGATTCAAAAACAGATAATAAGCAGAAAAAAAAACTTGCTTAAATACCACGAATTTGCTTATGGCAGTAAAAATCCACACAACATTTCTATAGTGATAATTTTTCTTATCTTAATATAAAATATTATCATATATTTTTTTTTAATATCACCAATCTGGTTTGGGCCAGACATTTCCATAAGTTTTTGATTGCTGATTAATAGTTTTGATATACCACATTGTAATTTTATATGCAACTCTGAATTATTTTTAAAATATTTTATGTCCAGGCTGATATTATATTTCAGATGTCTGCCTTATTTTTCAGTGATAGGAAAATGTGATTAAGTTTTAGACAATAAGTACATATAATTGAAATATGAACATTATTAACCTTATAACTACGCTCTGTATAAAAACGAAAGCTCCAAAATAGAAGTAGGACTTGGCAAACGTTTTGAATATGGCTTTTTTCAGCCTGGGTTTTTCGCCTTTTTTCTTTTTCGATTGTCGACACCTTCTGACTTCCTCATCCCAGTTCCTGAAAAAATACAAATCAAGTATTAGCAAATTGAAGAAAAGGAAAGACAGGAAGTATTTTACCTTTCCAAAGCATCTCCCAAAGGACCAGATAGATCCGGTGTTGTACTGTTGTAAATATCTTTTACTTCTAGATCTTTGTTGTAGCCAGTTTTGAAGAATGGAAGAACCCAACTGAAAACAAGAATTAATCATAATTTTATCAGACAGAAATTTTCAATGGATCTTATTCTAGCAGAGGACTACAAACTCTGAAAGTTAAAAGAGATGAGAAAGGAATTTTTAGATTTTTTAATTTTTCAAACATTTCAGCTCAAATCTCACAGTAATTTAGAGTATGAAGTTTGGGTGTGTTGTGAAAGATGCTTTTATAAAAGGCCTAAACAACTCTATACGCACTCGATTGCTTGAAAATACAACCCTTAGTCTCAATGAGGCTCATAATCAAGCTCAGTCTTTAGAAATGGCTGAAATTCACTCACAAAGCTTCGTACAAAATTCTATCAATACAACTTCAATTGATTATACTTCAAATTCTAAGTCATATCATTCAAATCAAATCTTAGCTACTGCTACCAAGAATCTAGCGGAATGTTGGTTTTGTGGAAGATCACGTCATCCTAGATATCTTTGTCCAGCTTCAGATGCTACTTGTCAAAAATGTTCCAAGAAAGGACATTTCGCCAGAGTTTGTAACAGTAAAAAGCATGACTCTAGGACAACGTTAGCTTCCATTGTTACTGTAATTATGGAGACTGCAGCTTCAACACCAGGACTTGGAAAAGCTACAATTGATGCAAAAATTTGTGGACAACGAGTTAAAGCTCTTATTGACACAGGAAGTATATCAAGTTTTATAAACGCTTCTCTTCTAAGATTCCACAAATTCCTGCTCAGCAACAAGTGAATATGGTGTCAATATCATTGGTCTCTCAACTTGAAGGAAGTTGTACTGTGTCACTAGAAACAAATACCCCTACATATGAAAACTTGACATTACTGGTTATGAAAAATCTTTATTATTATATTAGGACACGATTTTCTATATCATCATTCTAAACTTGGGATGTCATTCAATGGAAATCTGGATACTTTGAAAGTATGCGTTTTGATGCAAGCAGATATTACTCCTGCATCTCTATTCACAAATCTCAATAACACTTACAGACCTATAGCTATTAAATCTAAGAAACAATCACTAGAAGACCTGAAATTTATCGGATAATGCTTTCTGAAGGTAGTATTGAAAAGAGTAATTCGCCTTGGAGAGCTCAAGCTTTAGTCACTTCCAGTACAAATCATAAGAGACGAATGGTAATCAACTATGCCCAGACTATAAGCAAATTCCCTGAACTAGACGCATATCCACTTCCAAACACAGAAGACATTATTTCAAAAGTGTCAAGGTACCAAGTTTTCAGCACTATATATCTAAAGAGTGCATATCACCAAATTCCAATTATCGAACATGAAAAACCTTATACAGCGTTTGAGGCGGGCGGCGAACTATATCAATTCACGAGAATTCCTTTTGGTGTTACCAATGGAGTTGCTAGTTTTCAAAGAGTTGTCGACAGTATAATCAAGAAAGAAAATTTTTGAGGCACATATGCCTATCTTGATGATATCACAGCAGGTGTTAAGACTCGAGAAGAGCATGACAAAAACAAAAATCAAAGTACGGACTTAGAAAAATAAATTTAGGATATGAAATTGAGAATCAACAAATCAAACCTGATCCTGATCGACTTCGTCCATTCTTAGAATTGCCTCCACCAGAAGATTATTCTTCATTAAAACGAGTATTGGGAATGTTTTCCCATTATACGAAATGGATTCCAAGATTTTCGGTAAAAATCAGACCACTCGACAAACACAATCATTTCCTATGTCACAAGAAGCTCTATCGACTTTCAAAGCTCTGGTAGAAGATATTTCAAAAGCTGTTGTTACTGCCATTGATGAAAACCTCACATTCACAGTAGAAACAGACACATTAGACCGAGCATTAGACTATGCCATTGGAAGCTTATCACAAAATGGAGCTCCTATAGCCTCTATGCCTATAGCATTTTTCTCAAGGACACTGTCGGAAAGTGAGAAACGTCATTCGTCAATCGAATGCTATAGTTGAATGGTTTCGGAAATGGAGACATTATTTAATCGGACGACCTTTTTGACTAATAACAGATCAATGCTCTGTTTCTTTTATATTTGATGATAAGCGTGCAGGAAAAATAAAAAATGATAAAATACAACGATGGAGGTTGGAATTGGCCTGTTACAAATAAGACATTGTATATAGACCAGGAAGAGAAAATATAGTGGCTGATGCTTTATCAAGGGTTATGCCGTTATCTAATATTTCATAAAAAACCAAACAAAATTATCTTTTGACATTTGAAAACTCAATGAGTAGACGTCAAAATAACCAACAGTTATTTTTTTTAACTGACCAAAATTCGCCAGTTTTATTTTATACCCGGTTGAGTGCAAAATTTTGTTGGTGAATATGAAAATGATGGCTTAACTACACGTTAAAAAATAACTGCTGTTTTTTGACATTGGTGGATACGGGCATTAAAGTACAAATCCGAGGGGTTAATCACTCCCCAAAATCGTGTTACAAATTCGTCCGAAATCCCCGAAATCTTTCCAAAATCCTACCGAAATCCGCGAAATCCTTCCAAAATCCACGAAATCACTCCGAAATCCCTCTGAAATCTCTCAGAAATCTTCCCGCAGACCCAAAGATCCCTCGCAATTGGCCCAAAAATCATAAATCGGTCGTTTTTCAGTTTATACTATTACTCTTTCGAATATACTTATTAGATAAATAGCAGTCTAAAATCAAACTAAAATATTTATTTGTGAAATCACCTGAGATTCTCCAAAATCACCCTAAATCCTTCGAAATCACCCGAAATCCCTCGAAATCACCCGAAATCCCTCGAAATCACCCGAAATCCTTCAAAATCAACCGAAATCCCTCAAAATCGCTCTAAATCCGAAATCTTGTCACAGTGAATAATCCTAGATTAGATTAGATTCTTTATTCGATCATGTAAAAAAGACAAATACAATTCACAGTATACTGCGTATCACAAGTTTTCTACATTTTTACCTCTAGGGTGTTCATGTCATAAATAACAACATATACTATTACGTATAACAATAATAATATCAAACCGAGTATCAAACATACAAACACAAAATATAAAATATAAAAATAATATAAGTAGTCACAAAAAACTTTAAAATTTACATAATACAATAAGGAACACATAAATCAAATATTGCTCTTGCAATTTCCAGTTGTCCAGAGCCCTCGAGAGCCTGCACAGAAAGGACCAAGTGCGCGTCCCCCCTAATCCTAGGAATAATCTCTCAAAATCTTTTCGAAATCCTACCGAAATCCTTCTAAATCACCCGAAATCCCTCAAAATCACTCTAAATCCAGTCATATTTTTCCCTTAGTGAATAACCCCTCGTACAAATCTTAACATGGAAAAATTTGAAATTGCAACATTTTGGTAACGTCACTTTCTTTCAATATAGTAGCTATTCAAGAATTTACAGTACAAGTACTTAAACTTTGGTACAAGTATGGTAGGTAGGTACCTAATAAGTGAAGTTCAATTAGATGAGCTTGCAAACAAGGCCTATAGAAGGACCAGTCTAGTAAATCCATATTAGGCACTACAAGTGACATGCAAGATTTGCTTCTTTTATCATGAAAAAAGCGAAAAATGTTAAACAATAATAAATTATCTTATTAATGTTCCTTGTAATCTGCAGTAGTCAGAAAGTTATCAATAAACAAGTGTTTGTTTAATAAATATTCAGAAAATTGATATTAATAGTATTTTATTACCTACAATGAACAGTCAGTTTATGGATGCAGCAATAAAGACAAAATCAGTTATATGGATAAAGTGTAGCAAATGCTTTTACTCTACCTCCGTCTCTTTTTGCTGCATTAAAACTGAATATGTTTATTTCAAAAAACTTAGGTAAAAGCATTTGCTTCTATTTTATTCATATGAGCCAATAATTTTAGCATGAAATTGCACATAAATCAGTTTTTAATCTTAATATTTGAGAATTTGAATGATGGATCTAAAAGACGGAAAATGGTATGTAAAATTAGATACCTACCCAAGGACTAAAATGGTATCAGCTACTAGCTACTCAACATTCATATTTTAATAAAATCCAATTTACTTAAAATTGATTTACTTTGTATGCCTCGTGGAAAGCTAGCCAATCTAAATTACAAATAAATCACCAATATTATTAATGATTATTTGAAGGTGAAATGCATGACAATAAAGTCTAATGTACAATGTCATTAGGTAGGACCGCCATATTAGTAGCATGATTTGATGCGTGATATTTTGCTTATCAGGCATTTTTATTTCACAACTTTCGAGTTTTCATATTCTGGGTAATCACCTAATACCTGACTGAAATTTACACCTGAATTTACTGATTGCTGACTTAACAGTTTTAAATTAAAATCTCTACAATTAGAGTTCAATCTTTTGTAGTGATAATTGTGTTTAATTTATCTATTTAGAACGAGAATCAACAGTATAATATCCCACTAATGTAATGCTTTTGTCACTTATTTGAGAAAGCAAAATTTGTTAAAGCTTTATAGGTTTTTCTTATTTCAGGTAGAAAACTTTAAAATTTAGGACTCTAGGATATATAGTATAATTGCTTGCCTTAAATTTGCTTTAACAAGTAGATTTTTTTGTGAATATAGTATAAAACAGTAAACATTTTGTTTCTATATTGTTTAAGCTGGCAAAAACAATGCATTTCTAAGTCGTAATCAAAACAATTAGATGTGCCAAAACATAGATTATAATTGTCAAGGTTGGAACAATTTGATTTCAGATGAAGTAAGTTAAAACGGGTCTTCAGAGTCGTTGAATTGTTGCCACAAAAAAAACAGTTGTCTACCTTTTTTTTTCTATAAAAAGCGGTAAATTCCTTCTATTGATTTTTTTATGAGCTGAGGCACCCAATATGGGCTTATTTGCTTTGTGAACCTTGATTGATTGTCCATAATCCTTGACTTTGTTCAAAAGGAAGTGTATCCCTGGGTTTATTTTCCATGTTTATGTTGCAAAGGAAGCTAATTATTCATTTGTGCTCATCAGTTCAATATAAGAAAAGAAGGAAATGCACAATTAGGTTTTTTTTTTCTAAAAACAACTATTGTTGAGTAAACAACTTCTAATAGTCTAAAAATGATTGAATACTCCAAAAGAATAAGACCAAATTTATTTAATTTATTAATAACTGTGGATAAATATTTAATGATTTATAAACATCAAATTAAGATAAATGTGTGATGTGATTAATTATACAAGTCTATGATTATACTGAAAGAATTTGTTTGTGTAAATAACAAACAAATTATCTTACTTATGATGACATATAGTATGGCCAGTAAACAGCCAGGTCTCGTTTCACTGACTAGACGAAAATAATTAATGGTTTGTTTATCTTCAAAGTTCAACCAGCTAGGTTTCCAATAGTAGGTACATAATGAAATAATCAGAATTCATATGGAATGCATCAATCAAATTTTAAATGTGAATGGAAAGATTGGTTCAGAACTTGTTCACTATCTGAGTTGTAAAACTAATTTTTTTATATAATTCTACAGCCACATTTTGACCAATAGGCAACTGTTTTAATGTGACATTGTGGCCAGTTTTGGGTATACAGGGTGTTTCATAAAGAAATGTAAGAACAATGATGCACTTCTTTTTTAAATGGAACACCCTGTATATTATTACCTATGTGGCCAATGACCCTGTAAATTGTACAGTTTTACATAAACCATCATTGCATTCCCTACTGTTTTAAAAATCAAGTGGCAAGAAAAAGGGGAAAAAATGGACATGGATCAGACAAATTGCACTGATAGGTACATTAATTTTGTCAACAAGAGTAAAATATCTTGAAAGTCAGTTCCAATGGAGCTCTAATGCTTAATATCAATCAAAAACACTGGGACAGGTTTGTGGGTAGAGGGTAGAGTTTTAAATGGCAATTGAAATTTGCACTTACAGACTCTGGAGCAATTGCTAATAGCTGTAAAATTAAATATGTATCTAGTAGGTAAGTGTACCGTAGCCCAACCCAGTTACCAGTTACTTACCAAAAGAATAATCTGTTGCAGAAATTGGCCTTAATTTCGGGACTGGGATTATTAAATTTTTTGCTTGTATCCATCTTAGCACTGTAACTAGATAGAAAATGTAAAAACCCAATTCACCCAAATTTCAGTTTTCAAGCCGCGCCGCACATGGCCAAAGCGTGATAATTCTATGACTTTAGAAAAATCGGCATTGCTTAAAAAGTTGCACCAGCTAAAAATAGAAAAACCCCTTTTTCGATTTTCAGTTTTCTCTGGAAACTTTTGCTTTCAATGTTAGGTTAGAATTTATACAGCAACTACACAGACTACAGACACTCACACCGACCCCGAGTTTCCGTCCACGACTGAAAAATAAATAAAAATAAAATACAGACGCTCCCTACGGCGCACGCCACTCCTTTTTCCCACATAAAAAAAGGTCACGTGACTTCATACACCAATCAAAGTAGATATAACCAGAGTTTCTCTAGTATATCTATCTCTTTTGCTTTTGTTGATTTTGCATTAGGCTTTCCTTGTTTAGTTGCTCCTAAATACTTTCAGTGGATTTCAATTAGGGTTTCAGCAGAAATCAATTTGCAAGCAGTGGCGGCACTATTCATTTTTATTTTATGGATGTGTGGAGATTTTATTGGTGTATTGTAAATAATTTACTCTAGCATTATAAGGGGGAAAAAAGCTGTCCGTAAGAGCATAAGGTTTTACGAACATCCACCCAGTATATAGTTTCACCTTAAGTTAATCCAAAACTTGATTTTTCAACTTTTTAAATAACTGGAAACAGTTGTGAATGAATATGTAATTTGTAATTACCAAACAATTCCAATTTGTTTTCAATCAATCACCTTACCATTATAACATCGGTAATCTAGGAGCTCAAATTCTCCTTTTCTCTATTTTTAAAATATTTAAATTATGACTGGTCTGTCTGGATTCCTATACAGTGTATTGAATTTGAATAATTTGATGCATATCTCTTTCATCTGAGAATTCAAATGAAGAGTTGCTTATCCTTTCCTCAGAGTCTCTCAGGTTACCGTGATACAGAGCTGTGCGGTACTCGGGTACAAGTACTTTTCAATTGTACTTTAAGTACATTTTAAGTTACTCGGTACTCAGGACAAGATACTTTTTGGATCATGTACTTGTACTTGAACTGCTTATTAATATAAAAAATATCCGGTACTTTTTATTGTACTCAGTATATAGAGTGTTATAGAGCCTTTGGCTACATCTATCTGCGAACCTTTACATGTAATTACCTACCAAGGTGTTTGTTAAGTGAATCAAATAGATAAATAAATAAATAAATAAAATTTCAAAATACTCGCGTATATGCTTTTATAGTACTCGAATACATTTGTTATACGAGTACTTTTCCAGACAAGTTGAGACCTGACATTGTTACGATATGACTAATTTTCAGGTATTTCTTATTTAGCGTGCAGATGCGTAGCAAAATATCGTTCCTTTGATCATTGTGATTTACAAACGAACTTTGAACTTTTCTGTGCACTGTGACACTACTATGTCTGAGTCTGTGACCGTTAATTTTGAAATTCTGAGCCTTATAAGCTTTATAATATAGAAGGTAAATTGCTTTGCAAAGCATGTGTTTATAATTTTCAAAACAAAAACTCAAGTATAGGATATAAACTCTGGACGCTAGCTTATACCGGCGGTTTGACGGTAAATTTCGAGAAATAGGACGGAAATGTGGAAGGGAATGTGACGTCATAGCCCACGCGCAGTGATTAGTGCGTAGCTAGGGTGGCATTAGATTTTCATGTCAATGATCAAGGGTGTTTAAATGAAGAGGTTGGGTAATAACTTTTATAACGTCATTGGTATGAAAAATGTATTCATAAACGTACTCGGTACTTTGGGTACTTGGGTATTGAATACTTGTAATTGTACTCTGTACTCGAGTACATTTTGATCCAAGTACTTGTACCCGGTACACGAGTACATTTTGCCTGTACTCGGAACAGCTCTGCCGTGATATGATGTGAAATGTAATGTTTTGGCCCAGTAACTTTGGGCTTAGTCATTCAACTTCAATCATTTCTCCTGGGCCATCATTCTCGAGACAGGGAAGCAGTATTCCCATGAGAACGAAGGTTCTGATGCCTTCGTCACCTATATTTATATTTATATTTCCATAACACGGATGAAGACAGAGCAATCGAGAACGCTGTTCTTTGGTTTCGAGAATAGACTTCCTGGAGAATTGGATTCCTTCAGACAGGATTTCTGAATCCAATTCCCCAAGCGAAATGATGATAGGAGGAATATTGTCCGAAAGCAAATCTCCCATAATATGTTTTGACCAGCCTACGAAATAATAATTTCACAATGTCTAAACGTTTGTCCACATGTCTGAGAGACATTTTCGAAAAGACTCACAATACTCTCGCAACCCTATGCTTCAATGGTGGTTGCGAGAGTAGAATTTTGTTGTAAAAGTTTTTCTCTTCTAACAATAAATAATAGGTCTGTTTCTGCAGAGATCACAAACCAGTCAGAGTGAATTTCATTGGTTGAAACTAGTTTTCTGACTGTTTTCAACCAATGAAATTCGCTCTGACTGGTTTGTGATTTCTGCAGAAATAGACATTCATTCTTGCTTCATATATATTAACCTGATGAATTATACGAATTCTACACACCCAGTGGATTTTAAACCGGAATCCACGGAAAAACTAATGATTTTCTTCCAAAAAAATCAAATAAGAGAAAGTATAGTCTTCTACTCGCAAATACTGGCTATTATTTACTCGAATGATTCCATCACTCACCTTCGGCTCGTATTTGAATTTTCAATCTCGTGATTAATATAGCCATCATTATATGCTCGTTGAAGGATATACCTACTATTACAAAACCGCCAACCCCCAAGCCATTCCAATTGGATTATATATTGAAAATGGTATGTATTCATTTTCTGGGTTATTTTTCCCACGATGGAGTAGCTACGACACATTTTTCTACATTAAGGGGTAGTTGGTAGTTGCCAGGCTTCAAACCACTTCTCGATTTGATTTAAATAATTCTAGAGCGACTCAGGATAATTGTTGACCATACGTTATGTCGTCGGCGAACGCGGCATATGTTGATATTAGGTTGATTAGAATCTATAGTACAAGTTACAAACAACAGAGGTGCAAGTAGGTACCAAGCCTTGGGGTGCGCCACTTTGTACTGGATAGAGTGCAGAGTACGAGTCGTCATCTCTGACTTTGTACTCCCTGTTTGTAAGATTCTTTGGTTCAAAGCAGTAAATCCCCCCTCACACCAAAATGATCCAGTTTTGGCAAATTGGGACTCGGTCAAATGCTTTGGCACCGTTTTGGTAAAGATCTAAAATGGTTGTATTGTCCCATCATGTTTGTGTTGAAGGTTATCTCACGTTCAGTCAACCATTCCTGCATTTTGTTTTTTTTTTTAAGAATGTAGGTTGTGAGTCTAAAGAAAAGTTGCACGCCTCTAAAAACCCTGAATGCAAAATTAACCATTTTTCCTCTGATTTGATTTTGGATTTCACCTCTCATATCAGATTCATCATCATTGACATAAATCCGAGATCCATTTTGATGAATCTAGGTTCCATCTGATATTTTCCCTGGATTTTTGTATTGGAGATATTTCCCTAAAAAAGTAATTTCTGCATTTTCACTCAAAAATGAAAGCCTCTTTAAACATAATGTTATGGAAACAGTTAAATTTAAAACTCTGCTTGCTTTCAAGTTTATAATAATTGCAACTAGTACGTCTTTGTATGCATATCACGTATCTTTTGATGACTGGGTCATTCATAAACGCTAAATGCAGTTCTGCTACTTCTGTTCATAGTTCAATGTTCCCATATAGAGAAAGGCATTGTTTCAGTGATACAATGTTGAAAGTTGAAATTGGACTGAGGGTTATTGACTACGACCTCTAAACAATTATTTAAGGATGTATTAAGAACATCTTGTTGTCAGGGGGAATCAAATATATGATTGAAATATTTAGTAATATAATTTTTTTCCAATGTTCTTATTGATCGACCACTGCAATGCTCGGAGACTGGAATAATCCAGGACTTTGGCATTGAAAAAATAATCTATGTGAGCAAATTATCCCATGGAGATACTAGAGATTTTAAGTAGACAAATCTTTGGATGATTGACTAAGATTTAAAAAGGCAAAAAAATTAAATTATTTATTATGAATTGGAAAAAAAAAAACTGTCACTACCTTGTACAAAATAGGTGTTTACTTATCTAGGTGTTAAATGCCTACTTGTTGGAATAGTATATTACATACCGAGGTGGAAAGTGTTTCATTACTGTCGAGAGATTTTAGTAAGACCGAGGCGCAGCCGAGGTCCAATTAAAATCTCGAGACAGTAATGAAACTTTTCACCGAGGTATGTATACTATTTCGGCACACGGGAGGAAAGTAAACTTTCGACCCGTGGGCCGAAAGTAAAAATCAAAAAACCCAATAAATTTTTAAAATTACATTTACTTTCGGCCCACGGGTCGAAAGTAAACTTTCGACCCGTGGGCCAAAAGTAAAAGTCAAAAAAGTGACATTTTTGAACTTTTTAAAATTCAGTGAAGTCAACATTACATGTATGATTGTGAATAAATAAATTAACTAACTTATGTATATGGAGAATATTAATAACAAAGTTTGGCAAATAACTTCTATAGTAGTTATTTTCCCTAGGAGTTTTATTTTGATGAGGCGAATCAACTGGAAGCTTTCTGTCTTCGTCACTGTTCTATCCTCAAGTTGTTTCTTTCTCTTGAGATTTGAGGCCCTATAACTCTATTACATCAACTTCGACACTGCCATTTTCACTGTTGCTAGTTGGACTAGGATAATAATAATAATAATAATAATAATAGCTTTATTGCCCAACAGAGTTACCCATTTACAGAGCAATTTCATACAAAAATAACACAAAATAAACAATATTATAATAACCTATAAAATTATTAAATAGCAGCAAACACACCCGAAGCAACTGACTGCAAACAGCTGAGAGTACAATTGAAAATATCACATTCTCGATCAATTCTATTGAAATTACTACACATTATAGTTATCGGAGATCTCAGGAGAATATTGGTTTTTGCTCTAGTACAATAAAATGTTAAGTTGTTCCTGCTTTGGAGTCTGGGAACCAAGAAATTCAATTTCGAGAGTAAGTGAGGACAATCGATCTTCCCGTGTATCAATTTGAACAAGAATGACAGAGAAGCCAATACTCTCCTATGCTCCAGGGTTTGCATGGTGAATCTACTCAGTAGCACTCCATGGTCAAACCCTCTTACTGGATAGGTTCCGTCCATTTTAAACATTAGATACTTTAAAAACCTTCGTTGAACTTTTTCCATTATAATTTTGTGGACACTGTAAAACGGATACCAGATTAAACAACCGTACTCAAGTTTTGAGCGTATGTAAGCATAGTAAAGTGTGAGTAGGGCGTTTATATTATCAAATCCTTTACAATTCCTCACTATAAAGCCGTAAACCGTACTTGCCTCATTAGCTTTAGTTTTAATATGCTCAACAAAAGTAAATTTATAATCAAACACTATACCCAGATCTGTGACAGAGAAACATCGTAACAGTGCTGTATGGTTTATTGCATATGCGAAAGTGATATAAGTCAGTTTACGGGTAAATGTAATACATTTGCATTTAGACACATTCAAATTTAAACTATTTTCAGCACACCATCTTTGAACAGTAGTTAAATTAGTCTGCAGATTTTCACAATCACTCAGACTGTCAATTGGAGAAAAAATCTTGAGATCATCTGCAAATAATAAATTTCCAGAGGTAAGTTCATCAGCTAGATCGTTAACAAATAAAAGAAAAAGGAGAGGACCTAGATTAGACCCTTGAGGTACTCCTGAGGTTGCCGTATATTTCGTAGACTTAAATCCATTGTAAAAAACAAATTGTTGCCGATTATTTAGATATGATGCAAAAAGTGCTAGGAGACCATCAGAAAATCCGAATCTATGCAACTTCGTAATTAATAACCCATGATCCAATCTGTCAAAAGCCTTGGAGAAATCCGTATATATCACATCAACCTGACCCCCCTTATCCAGAATTTCTGATATATCCTGTGATATATGCATTAGATTTGTTATGGTTGATCTTTGGTTCATAAAGCCATGTTGAAAAGGTGAAATTTGGCGACAGACTGATGCGTATACACGTTCATACAGAATGGTTTCAAAAATCTTGGAGAAATTGCACAGGATGGATATCGGGCGATAATTCGCCACCTGTGAGCGCTCACCAGACTTAAATACTGGGATGACTTTTGCCTCCTTCCACAGATCTGGGTATGTATGGGAATGCAGCATCAAGTTAAAGAGGATTCTTAAAGGGGTTACTAGCACACCTATGCAGTCCTTAACTAGAAAAGCAGGTATAATATCTGGACCAGATGTCATTTTATTTTTGAGCTTTTTAGATGCTTTCATTATCTCATCATCCGTTACGTCGTTGATATGAACTGTACTACATAAACTAGGCTGGGAAAGGTTATCACTAGGCACTGAGGATGGCAAAAATACACTTTCAAAAAACCTACCAAAAACATTTACTATTTCTTGGGAATCTATGTAAGTTTGCCCCTCGAATGCCATTGTATTTGGGATTCTAGAGCTTCTGTTCTTACTATGAAAGTAAGACCAAAAGTATCGAGGATCACTATTAACACTTTGCTGTACAATGGAGATGTAAGCTTTAAATGCGGCTTTGATATCTTGCTTAGTTAATTTTCTCAACCTTTTATATTCAATAAAAAAGTCCACAATGCCAGTCTTTCTATGTTTGCTCAATGCTCTTTCTTTAAGTTTTATATTCTTTATTATTCCAGCGTTATACCAGGCTGGAAAGGAACGTTTATATTGTTTATATTGCGGGACATGACTCTCCACCAAAGAGTATAATTTATCATAAAAACATTTAACAGCGTCATTTACAACATTATTTTCCCGCAAGAAACCCCAATCAGTATTTATAAGAGAGTTGTATAGGGATGGAAAGTCTGCCCTTTTAAAATTGAAAGCTTTGTTCTTTAAATTAGGAAGAAATTGGTCGTGCCTTTTGCAAGTAAAACTTTGAGTGGAAATGAACAAAGCAGGGTGGTATTTGTCCTCCTTGACAAAGGGACTGGCATTGTGAACAACGCTACAATCTAAATTTGTCGCAACAAGATCCAACAAACGATCCGAGCAATTACGCACACTGTTGTACTGCTTAAGTTCAAAAAAATTCATAAAATTGTTAATACTAGTGAAGTATCTATCATTCTGGTCAAAATCAACAAAACCTGGATTATTAAAATCTCCCAAAGCCAAGATATTTTTATTAAATAATTGCTCAAATTGTTCTAATGATTCAAAAAATAATTCAACAGTTTCTATAGGTAAGGATGGCGGAATATAAATAACTAAAATAAACAATACTCTATGGGATATCACACATCGGTTCATAATAAAGTCAATTTCTGGGAAGTTCTGCTTTAAAAATGGCATTTGAATGGCCTCACTTTTCACAGTATTTTTTATAGCTAGTAAAACACCACCCCCACTCTCACGGCCAGTTGCAGCAAGATCCCGATCCTTCCTAAATACTTGATAATCATCATTAAATAGCTCACTATCTTTCACATTAGAACTAAGCCAGGTTTCAGATAATGCTACCACATCAAACTCACTATCGCTAACAGAAGAATAGAAAGTGTCAATCTTTGAATTAAGTCCTCGAACATTTTGATAGGCAATAACAAGGCTCTCTGAACAGTCTGAACTGTTGGGCACTAACCGTTTAAATTTTCAACAATTTTAGGAACCCCCTTTACATAACGGATTTTCAGGTTTGTTTCGCCTCGAGCTATCCTTGAATTCAATTGTTCCTTTAAACCTTTATACTCAGCAATTTGCTTGGGAGTGCGGTCAAAACTGACTGCAACCTGCCCGTATGCTTCATTACCTTTTAAACGTTTTGAACCCTGGATTACTGTAAGCGCATCTTGCTGTGTAGAGAAGACGACCTTAATTGGTCTTGGCCTTTCATTGTTAATACGTCCCAGTCGAAAAACCTTTGTGATGGTAACAGGATTATCTGGGCATGTCACATTGACTATGTCTTTCACAATGCCCAAATCAAGCTCAGAGCGTTCGTCTGTTTCCTGGGATTGTGCCTCCTTTTGTCCAAAAATCATAACATTTCTCAGCCTAGTCTGTCGATCGTTCAATTCTGAGACAACACCCTCCAAGTTATCAGAAGGCATCACTGACACCTGATAATAAGGATTTGACGACTTGTGTTCTTGAAAATATTCTGCACCAAATTCCTAAAGCAAGAAATAGTTTCACCTGGCAAAAAAAAAATGCTCTAAATCTTACCTGATACATTTGTTTTGTCACTAAACTATTCGTAAACTCATCAATCCTAGAGAAATTCCTTCCTCCATACCAAGAAGAAAGACCGCAGTCGTCCATAATGCTCACATTGACCTTAGATTTGAACGGTCTAATAGAAACAAGATCTGCTAACAATCTTTCCTGTAAGCCTGGCAAACTTGCCAAACCTCCAGTTACAATTACATTGGAAACTAATTTCATTTGGCTCTTAGCATCAAATAATGACAATACATATCCTAAAAAAAAAACAACGAAATTATTATAAGAACTGAAGTAATCTACTTAATATGCACCAATTATTTCTGATAATCCAGCCTCCTGACTGCCAAACATATAAGGTTTGAAAAGCAGCTCAGGTCCTCTAATCATTTCAACTCCGAAATGAAGTTGATGGGCTTCACCAGGCTGAGAAGATTCGCCCAATTCAGTGGGCTCATGTGTGCGTAAAATTTCGTCAAATTCAAGTAATTTTTCGTTTTCGGTTTCACTGTCAGAATCACCACCTAAATTTTGTTGGTGTGAGTAGGTAATATTATTATTTATTACTGATTTACCATCTTTACTAATTGTCTTATAAATGTCCCAATCTTCATCTCTCATTCCAAAATCGTCATTGCCTTTTTCTTTTCTTGCCAATTGAGATATCAGTCTCATTCTTTCTTGGCCTGCTGCTGTTCGTCTTTTAGCCATGTCTTGCTTCCTTTGTTTTCTGATCATTTTTTTGGTTAAAATTTCTTGTCTCTAAAATAAAATTATTATCGAGTGAATACCTAATTTATTTTATTGTGGAATACCATTTTCCTAATATTCTGCATAAATATATGTTGTTCCTTATCACTTCCAAATACCAATTTTGAATATTTTGGTTGTTTTGGAGGTGTTTCCTCTTGTTCGTCAACATTAGTTGATGCCGACAATATTTTTTGCCTTGTTTTTTCAATTTTAGCATTCAAAAGCAAAATACTCTTTTCCAATTCAGAGACGCTTTTTATTTGAAATTCCATTAATGTTTTTTCAATCTAAAAGATTTTTTTTTTTAAATAACATTGAAAAAATTTAATTTAAAAATTACTATTTCTGGATCGGCTCCCAGTTCAATCATTTCTTTAATATCCAAAAGTTGGCTTATTTTTTCTTCATCTTCAGCCAAACGTTCCTCTCTTTTTCTAGCGTTAATTTCTATCAATCTTCTGGCTAACTCTTTTTTACGTTCTTTTTGTTGTTCCACTAAAAAAATGCATCAGGATGAGCTTTCTCTGTCTGAATTTTTTATTTACCTATATCCTGTTCACAATCCGATGTCCACAGGTGCAGGTAAATTTATCACCTTTCCCTATCAAATAGCATTGAAAGGTGATTCTACCTGTACCTACCTGTGGACATCGGATTGTGAACGGATAATACATAAAATTTTAAATTCTTAAATTTTTACGAATGATTAACTCACATGTTATAGCACTAGCAATGGTAGTAGCAGTAAAAGGCAACTGAATTTTCTTAACATTGGCCTCATAATAATCTACATTTGACCAGTTGGCCAATTCCTCACGATAATCTTTGGCTATTTTACAAAGATTATGAACCAACTCTTCTGCCCTGCTTATAGTTATAGCGTTTGCATGAACAGGGTATTTTAATTGGAGCAATCTGTGTAAGAAATTTATTATGTGGAAACCTCCTGAAAAAAAAGCCAATGCATTAAAATATGAGGCAACATTTAGTGAGTTTACCTGTGTTTAATCTTCTAATGTTTTCAAATATAGTCTTATTATTAATTAAAGGAATAATATGGCAAGTCTGGTAACCCAAATTTATAATAAGGGCATCTTTTGATGAATCTGCATAGTAGTGATGGCTCAATAGTGCGTCAACTGCATAGCACAAAGATGGAACATTGTAGCACTCAAATAATAGCTCAGACATTACTGAAATATTGATAAATTGAGAAATAATTTAAAATTGAGAGAAATTCTTACACTGCCTCGAACTATTAGGATTAAGCACTGCCTCGGTACACAAAATGGGATGTGGCACTTCCTCCTCAGTATCAATCCCTAAATGACTGAAGATATAATCAAATAAATGTTCCTGGGCTTCAAAGTGAGTCACTACGTTTCTATCGAATTGGGTTTTTAATTGAAATCTTACTGCTTCAATGTTGACTATATCGTTGCCCACTTGAAGTTGAGGGATCTGAGGAATTTCTATGGTGTCTTTTTTAGAGCGTTCGCGTCGTGGCTTCGCTATGAGATTACGGAATTGTAAAAGGGGCTCATCGTTTGTCGACCAACCAACTTTACATAAGTAAGAACCTGTTAGAAGAATATTATTACTATTTTGGATTGTGGCCTTAATTAATGTGTCTAGGTATGATGGCATTCACTATTTTAATGTTTGAAACTATCGTAAACCTATTTTGTTACTTACCATTGTCGATAACTATTGGAACAGAATTATTCTTATGGGCAGGGGTATAATTGTGAACTATATCTGGTACAGATTTGGTATCGAGAAACTGTAAAAGTTCCATTATTCAAACACCAATAATTATTAGAGTTCAAAATGCTAAAAATAAATTGAAATTATTCAAGGTATAAACACAAAAATGTAAGAAAATGAAATTATAGGTTAGGTTTTTGTTTGATGTTTCACGTCCTAAGTGTTTTTGATCTCTTACTAATAGTACAAGAGCCAGTGAAAAAAATTCCGGCTGATTTTATTATGACTAAAAAGTTTAGGTTCCTTAAATTAGCACAACGAAAATAGCACACATCAGAAAAACTAGAGTACTAAATTCGGGCCTATTTAGTGCTGATTTAGTACGAAAAAAAATAATTTATAACTGTATTTTTTAAAAAATTACGAGCATGTGTGCCAGCTTAAGATTAAGCTGGCACACTCTAGTTGGATAAGGTCGAATCTTTGAAAATCTAGTACCTCATATTTAGTGCTAATTTTGTACATACATGGCACGCCTAAAAAACTAACAATGATGTATTTATTACAAAATAACTCCGAAAAAGTGCTAACTTATTGAGACTTGAATTAGCACACATACATCGAATCAACTGCGCGAGAACGGAATTCGCATGCGCATATTTATTTCTAATTTAGTACTTCAGAAACGACGACCCGAAACGAATTAGTATCACATTAGCACAGAGTTAGCACTTGTGTGCTGGCTTAGTGTTTAAGTTAACAAACTTACCTATCACCAATGACGCGATGAAACTGGAGTATTAAATTAGCACACATTTAGTGCTAATTTTAGGCGTTAGTTTGGGTTAGTTTCAGTTAGTTCGGGTTATTTTGGGTTATTTTGGATTAATTTGGGTTAGCGCAGTGCTGATGTGATATAAAAAAAATACGATTCGATGTATGTGTGCTAATTCAAGTCTTAAGTTAGCACTTTTCCGTGGTTATTTCGTAACAAATACATCATTGTTAGTTTTTTTAGGCGTGCCATGAATGTACCAAATTAGCACTAAATATGAGGTTCTAGATTTTCAAAGATTCGACCTTATCCAACTAGAGTGTGCCAGCTTAATCTTAAGCTGGCACACATGCACGTAATTTTTTTAAAAAAAGAGTTATAAATTATTTTTTTCCGCACTAAATAGGTCCGAATTTAGGACTCTAGTTTTTCTGATGTGTGCCATTTTCATTGTGCTAATTTTTTAGACCTAAAAAATTTAGGGAATGTAGAATCAATCATGAACAATACGAAATCGCGTGCCTGCCTGCTCGTATCAGTTGCGTTTATTAATAAAAAAATGTTTAACGAGGTTTTGTGAACCGACTCATCGCGTTTTGCATCAAAATTTGCGTGAACATAGAACAAACACCCCCAAGTATGATTTCCAATGCCTGTCTAATACCTAAATCAGTTGCCAAATAGCGCCTGTCAAATAAAAATCGATCGAAAGATTTTTCAAAATTCGACTCATCGCGTTTCGAGTGAAAATTAAATATATCACAGTTAAAGGCATTAGAAGAACATTTGACTGCCTGCCCGATCAAAGCCGTTGATGCTTTCTAATGCCTGCCTGGTCCCAAAGTTCGCAAAGTATAAAAATATGCCAGGTAAAATACTCAAATTCACAAAATAAAAACACATGGACCGTGCCGACCCAGAGACGCACAAATAATGATTTCGTTGCAATGTTCCAGACATTTTTGCCGTCAACTGAGTGACAAAAACCCTTCAAAATCCTTTTATTTTCAACCACATATGTAATGTTGACATTGCAGGTTTTTCAAAATCTTGAAAGTGTCACATTTCTGGACTTTGACATTTATCGGGACGGTAATGCATATGCCTGCCTAGGACGGAAAAGCATTTTCCGTCCGGGACGGCAAATGCTTTTCCGTCCCCATTTCCCTGCTCGTTCCAAATTGATAATTTTCATACAGCTCTCACATATAATAATAAAACCACATGTATTACATGGAACTAATTAAATCTATTCACTTATTTACATTAATTGTTAAATTAGCATTGTTGTTTATAATGGAAATCTTGAGACCATCCTGTTGGAATTGTGTTTCGTTTGGAACTATTATCTCTTGCGCTTGCGGATGAGTTTCCGCATGTGATGTACTTGTGGATGCACTGGACAACTGAATACCTTTGGAAGTAGAGGATAGCATCAGAGCAGTCTTACTTTTGTTCTCCAAAGATGCCTCTATGTAGCCTTCAGCAACCGTGCTCGATTTCCACCCTCCCAGTCTTTTGAGTTGCAATAGATCGGCCCCGTTGTCAACCAATAAGGTTGCGGAAGTACGACGAAAAGCATGCCCTGTAAAAGTTTCAATTTTTGGAAGCTTCAAAAAAGCAGCTATTTTATGTGGAAATTTTGAGATTGAATGATAGCCAATTGCTTGGTTATGTAATTTCCCATTTCGCCATTGAACAAATAACCTGTCATTTTTCAAATTTTTCCGCAAAGTGAGGTATTTGTGGAAAATAGCAACCCAATCTGGATCGCTTATGATAAACGATCGACTTGTGTAAGTTTTTGTGTGTGGAATTTCTATAGCGATCTTTCCTTCCAAAACGTTGACGTGCTCCATTTTCATCTTGACTAGTTCATCGCTCCTACATGCACCCGACACACCAACAATTAGCGCTACCTGAAACCAGATAAAAATAAAATGGGTAACCTAGCTATAGCATACAGAAAATCATTTTGATTTTCGCATTTTTATCTTCTTTGTATATTTTTTGAAAACCTACCTTGATGCTAATGAATTCTTCAGCTGCCTTCGTGAGGAACTCGTTAATGTTTTCTCTGGAAAAAACGCTCGACTTTTTCGGCTGAAAGCCCAGATTTTGCCGCTTCAAAAAAGCTATAAGTTTTGCGTAATTGGAGATATCAACTTTCTCTTTCAATTTAATCATGGTTTTCAACATACTGTAAGTCGACCATAAAGTCGAAGGCTTCTTTTCCTTAGATAATTCGCCAAAATACGCCAACAAAACGGTCTCCGAGGCAGTATTTCTCGTTCCTTTCTGGCTACACCATGCTTCGAATATTTGAAAAGCCTTTTCGTACCGAAATTTGCTTTTTGCTGGAAGCAAACTCTCTCCAATCCTGTCTGCTGCTTCTTTTAATTCAGGTGGGGTACAATCCATCGCTTCATCTTCACTTTCCGAAATCATTTCTTTGGGGAGAACGGGGAGAAATCTAGTGAAAATCTATTATTTCCGCAAAAATACTGAGCGAAAACTACCGTCGTTAAGGCGTTGTTGATCTTATCTATGGTTGTTGATTTTGCGGTTTCCTGTGGTTTCGTCTTTTGTTTTGGCCTTTACAGGGCCTTTGAGATCGTCAAAATTGATGACATTGACAAAAAAAGTGAAATATTTTTTTCTAAGGCCAGTTTTACACTATATGAAAATTTCGTATAACAGAATCTTTAGTTTTTGCATCAGAAAATTAAGGGTTGAAAATAAAAAAGTATACAAACCTCGACGGAAAACTTCATTTCTGTCTCGAGATTGAGTTTATCTCGACGCTTCGCGTCTCGATAAACTATAATAACCTCTCGACCAGCAATGAAGTATTTTCCGTCTCGGATTGTAATATACTATAAAACAAAGGCGGTTGGCCAGCACCAGAAAATATTTTACCAAAACAAGAAAACACTACCCATACCTAACATGAATTTGGAAAACGGAAAAGTAACTTTTGAAAGAAAAATTTGTGTAACAAAATTCTGACAATTGACACAAAATCTCCATCTTCAAGCAGTCATTCGCTAATGGTACAGGAGTGTCGATCCTTTTCACATGGCTCCGTTTAAACTAACCGGGTTACAAAACGGTTAATAGCGGTATTTCAAGTATGACATACCGTTTTCTAACCCGGTTACAAAGCGACTTGATCGATTATACAACTCACTGTACATTATTCCCATATGACACGAGAGGCTTAACAAGTGATAAGCCTTTTGGGATTATCGCGCTTGGTGGCATTTATGGCAAATTCTATTATAGATTTTTTTTTTTTAATTTTAAAGTATTGAAGTTTAGTTTGTTGTATAACCTTTTGAATACCACTCGATGTTTCAGGATTACCTAATACTTTTACCTGACACTCAACGCGTTACCAGCAACACCACTCCTCCTTCGGAGTCGTGGTGTTGCTGCGTAACGCGTTTCGTGACAGGTACAAGTATTATCCGGTAATCCTGAAACAGTGGCGGTCCATACATGATTTTCTGGGGGGGGGGGTAATGGATGAAAGGAAAATTATCAAGTGTCGCAACGTACCGCCGGAGGCGACATTTTTTTTGGGGTGCCACGCTCAAATTTGCACCCGAAAGTCGTTCAAAAAACACGCCTCAACTGTATCCCAATGCCGTCAAAATAGTTAGGTATACAGGGTGTCCACTTAGTGCGATATGGGACGATATCTCCTTACAGGGTGATGCAAGAAAAAAAATTAAATTACAAAGTTGTTTGATTCTCTAAGGTGCATAAGTTAAAAATATTTTCAAATACTCAGGGTCCTCCGAGGGATAATCCGTAAATGGTGTATGCAAAAGAACTTTGTTATTTTTAAATGGAACACCCTATATTTCAGTACATTAATGGATCGTTGTAAAAATCCTACATACTTTTTGTTAGGAATCACCTATACCAAAACTTAACCGTTTTTGAAATATTTAATATTTTTTCAAAAAATCGCAGTTGGCATGTGTCAACAAAAACCAACAAATGGAATACCCTTTATCTCACTGTATAAAAGAAGGTACCTACGTCGATACTGTGGGTGAGCCTGTCATATTTAAACGATGCCTATGCTTTAGGTACTTTGTAGAAATTGTCTTTTGTTGAAATTTTGTTGTAACTAATAAATGTATGTAAAAAAAAATCTTTGTCTGGGGGGGGGGTAATTACCCCCTCTACCCCCCCCTTTAAACCGCCCTTGTCCTGAAACCTCTTGTGGTATTACATTCGATAATACCACTCGAATTTGAGCGGTATGTTGCGGTTTGTTAAACCGGAGTCACGTGAAAAGGGTTAGGGTGTTTGTTTATAGCTGGAACACTCAGTAACTTTTTTATTATTGAAAATAGAGGGCATGTTTAAATTGGAAAATTTCTTGGTGAATTGCAACGATTTTAATCGCTACAATTAACGATGTTTTTTTGGCGCCATAAGTATACAATGTGCTTCAAAAAAGTCATTTTTTTTTAATGGGTTGCCCTGTATGTTTTTGAATTTTTAAAATTCCCAAAAATTAGCTTCACATAAATTTCCATCACTATTTGGATAACAAAAATTCACAGGATGTTCCATTGAAAAAAAATAGTTTTTTAACGCACCCTTTATTAGAGGTGGGCCAACCTGCGATTTTAATGCAGCTGTGACAAGACGTGACTGCTCCAGTCGTGTCACTGTGACAAATATAGCAGTGATTTTTTGGAGCAGTTTTACCTTAGTTGGCGGCGGACAAACTGCTAAT